GGCCGTTATTTTACCTATTTTTTGGGGTTAAGGTAGGGTTTAGGGGTTAAGGGTTTATGGGGGTTTAGGGGTGTAGGGGCTCAGGGTTTAGGATTTAGGGGTTGCAGGTTTGGCTTTTGGGGGGTTTGGCAGAGACCATCGCGCCTACACCCACATGCTGAAACCCATGCCCCAAAGCCTTATGCGACTTATGGAACCTGCCACAAGGTGCATGGCACACATGCATTCTCTGCGGGAAAATGGCCCAAGTGAGGCTTCTATATGGGTTATCATATAGTTGTGTTGTTGTTTTTCGGAATCTGTTTTGACACCCACTTCACAACAGCTCGTGTTCTGCCAGTCATCATGTCGGTGCCGATGGGGCTTTGCAGCTTGGTGTCGGCCAGCTTAAGACGTCAAAGCAAGCAGTAGACCTGCCAAGAAGATGGTTCATACCCCATGGGCCTCAAAAGTTTCGAGTTGCGAGAAGGGGATGAGAAGGCATACAGGCCTGTTTTAAAATCAATCGTGCCGTCTTATGGAATGCACATTTTGTGCAGACCCTACTGATCAAGGTTCTACATCGTTTGGTACATAGCAATCAAACTCCCTCACAACTTCAGCGCACTGAGGCAGGGGCCGGCGAAAAGCTGACGTTTCGCGGGGCCTGCGCGGTGGTTCGCATTGAAGGTCGGAGCCCTTCTGTTGGAGTTTCGTGCCAAGAGCCGTTGCAGTACCATAGCTCACCCACATACACGTCCCAAAGTACAAGCAGCTGAGCTTTTAGACTGGAAGCAATTCAAGCGCCGTGAACCTGCTAGTAGGGATTGCGGTTTTCAGCGGCTCCAGTTGAGATGTAGGAGCTGGAAGGACTACAGCCCGGCAAATGAAGCAGGGTTTAGGGGTTAGGGTTCAGGGTTTAGGGCTCCTGCTCTCGAATTATGTGCTATCTGTCTCTGTCTCTCTCACATGGACCCTGAAGTCTGTGAGCTGTCGTGGGCCCAGCACTTGTCACCGGCACCCCCACATCCAAACTCGTGTTCCTTCCGGCCTGAACATTTAAAACAACGAGGTTTCGGTGTAGATCAATATGCCAATTGGCAATGCTATGAAACTATACAATTTTTCAGACCCTCGATTGAACCTTAAATCATGCAAAACCAGCACGCTTGAACATTGCCTGAAGCCCTACCCGACAAGCTCGAAGCTCCACTGCAAACAAACCCTTAACCCGTGAACCCACTGATAGTGACTTGCCTGGACGTAAGGGTCTAGCCATTGCGGGTTTGGGGCAGAAACTGTAAGGGACTCGAATATACACCCTCACAAAAGAGCCCCGAAGAAAACGCATGTTTATCTACTAGTGTGACAACTTGGGTCATGGGTTTTGGAAGTACAGCTAACTATCCTCAGAAGCACAGTCTGCAGTCCTGAGAACCCTGGAGCTCAAACCGTCAACTCTAGATCGCGCAGTACCAGCCCAGACGCCTCTTCTTATGGAAGCCCGACCCGGAGTACTGCGGAGTCTGTTGATTATGGAACTTGGCAGGCTGAACATATATGTAACAACAGGAACGACTAAAAGTTCTGCTGGGTTACAGCTACTATGCACTAAAGCGGCAGCCACTAAAGTAACTCTAAACCCTAAACCCTTTTTTGAGCACGGACTTGGAGTGTATGCCGGCAGCCTAAACCCTAAAGCGCAAACCCCGCCTCAAGGTCTATATGCCACACCCTCGAACACAAACTTTAGGGGTTAGGGGTTTAGGGTCAAACCCCCAAGCCCTGAACCCTAGACCCACACAGTAAATGTCTACGAAAAGCACACACAATCGACCTCCGAATCCTCGTCGTCGTCATCTTCTGGCAGATCGGCGGTGTTCACATAGCCAGTACCTGAAGCAGGTTCAATTCCTTAAACCCGCCAAAACCTACCTTTAAGGGTCTTTGTAAAACTTCAAAAAGGTAGGATATGTAGCTAAAGGTAAGTGCTATAAGAGTTCGTTACTATCAGGGTTGTTAGTGGGTGGCCACAGGGACTACCGTAAGCCTCGCGGGATGAGGTTTAGAGCAGGAGACTCAAATTCAAGGCGATCGTTTCGTATGTAGGGTTTAGGTTCAGAGCTTACCCAAAGGCCCCAAAGTAGTTCCTTTTTGGGGTTCATATATAGAATCCTATAAGGTAATCCGAAAAAGGAACTCCTTTGGTGCCTATGGGTTTCTTGCCATGCTAGACGTGGCAAAGTAATCCATCCACGAATCTCCTCCAATTACGGACGTTTCGCACCTCAGGGTAGTAGTTCACAAGCCCATCTACGACAACTAAACCCCGTAGATGGGAAACACTGAACCCCTAACCCTGATGAGAAGCCGGACAACGGGCCTTTGCGCGGTGCAGAGGGCGATGACGTCTGGGCTGGTACCTTGCTTCCCTTAGTGGTCAAGGGCTCGTTCCATAGATCTCTATGTTTGCGGGTTCTATTGGCTTCCAGTTTAGGGTTGCTGGGTGTGGGATTACATATAGGTCTTATGTCGGTGCACTCTCAAGCCCTGTCACAAACTATATGCCTACCCAACCGTGGTTCAGAACTTTGAATCCTGAGACAGACATGGTCCGTGGACTGCGGTGCACTCGCGAAGAAGCATCTGAAGTTCCGTGGCTGAACGGAACTTGCATTATCAGAAACCCCTAAACCCTAAACCAGAGGCCCCGCAGGCCCTATTCTAAACACTATGCGCGGCTGTGGGCTTGCGGGATCCCTTTATTATGATCCAAGGGTACAAGGAGGGACCCTTAATAAGGACCCCTAGGTATATACCCGTAATATAGCTATTATATACCCATTATATAGCCCATTATAGGGTAGGGGTCCCCGTTAAGGGTCCCTCCTTTTCCCCTTTGATATGATAAGCATGTGAGTCGGCATGTGTGAGGGATACTCAGTTTTATTGGGAGCACCCCTACAAGAGAAAACCAAGCACGTGCTCGAGCGACAGAGGCGTCGGCAGGGGCAAAGCTTACCGTCCGCTGTGCCTGCCAGCTTTAGCTACGAAAAAGGTCGTAGCACCCACTCTTTTAAGCTTCCAGGTTTGGGCAATACTTTCACCTCCGCGCATCTTGGTCTTCGCGTCCGCATCTAAAAAGGCCAGCCACTCAGATCAGCTTGGACAGTGCGAAGGTTTCTATTCGGAATGCGTCTGCCAAAGAGGTATTTGTGGCAACTTGAAGTTCTGCGAACAGAATTTCTGAGCCTCGTGTGCAGTCTATAGATGGTGCCATGTCTGGCTTCTTATCTGATGAGTATCCGGCTGGAGCCCAGGGCATCAGCACATGCGTTGACGACTGCTGTGTAAGGCTTCGTTCTTTGCCAAGACATGTGCCGAAACTGCAGAGGCTGTGGAGTTTTTCTTAACGGTACTAGCATGATCTAGGAAAGGCGCCATGTGCAACTGTCTTAGACCAGTTGATCTGTCTTGGAGAAACCGGCAGCAACTCCGAGTTCGCAAAACGGTAGACGACCAGGAACTTCAGGTAGGGGCATAGTACAAAGTACAGTTGGTCAGGGGTTGAGGTTTGTCTTATTTTGAACACCTCTTTCTCCGAATTCTGTCCGGAGCATAACAATTAAGAAACCCTAAACCCTGCACCCAGCCCGGGCCTCCGAATCATCGTCGTCGTCGTCCGGCAAGTCGGCTGTCCGAACATAGCCAGTGCCTCTTGTGGATTGCTGAGAGTTACCAATACTATTTTGGGGGTTCCTTATTGTCAGTCCATTATACTACAACCCAAATCCCTATTCTAATATTTAAGGCCCCTGCATATTGACCCAAACAAGACCCTTTTTAAAGAACCCTTCGAAAGAACACGATTCGAAAGATCTAGGCCCCTATATTACTTTTCAATAGTCGCCGACAGGTCTTGAAACGGGTCGGCACTGGATTGATGCTTGGCCTTTTCGCGGTGCAGATGGCGAAGGCGTTTCGTCGTTAGCCTGAGCTCTAAAAGGGTTCTATATCGGTTTAAGGGTCCATGTACCCAAACTCTATTTTCCGGTATCCGGAACAGCAGAACTAGGCGGGCAGATCTGCAGACAATTCCATCAGCGCGTAGGTACATGTTCACAAACTTTGCATGCTTCCAGCCCATTATGACTCTAGAACTCCCATGCAAACCTGCCTTGAAGCCTAAATGCTGGAGCAATCAACACTCAGGCTGTGACGACTGCAAAAGTGACATTTCGTTGGGCCTCTGCGATTCTCGGATCACATGGAGTTCTGCCAAGCTGGAGGTGGACTAGAAAGCCTTTCGGGAGTATGCGCAAACTTCCCTTCCAGTGATGGCGGCGCATATTTCAAGGATAGGGAGACCATACCGATCATCGTTTCACATGTTGGAGCCATGCACTCCGGGGTTTGGTTGCATTGTACTGTTGCACTGTGCAGTGGCGGGTCTGCGGGATGTTCTGCTGACGACTGCACAAGGACATGTCAAGGGCACGTTTGCTCGCTTTTTGTGCGTGGATTTGCGAGGTTTTGTGCAACTGGCGGCCAGGGATCAAGGACCTTGGGTGAACCCCGTAATAGGTACCCAACAGACTCATGGAAACATCATACCACAATCACTGAAAGCTGCTTTGAGAACCTGAGATCTGCCTCTAAATCTAGATCATGCCTCCTGCTCATCATCTTCGTCGCAGTCATCTGGCAAGTCCGTTGTGCGAACGTAGCCGGTGCCTTCAGGGGCCATCTTGACGACGCGCTGTCGAGGAACCGAGGTATTGAACAGATGGGAAACACTAGGCATGCCCCTAACTCTAGTCTCTAAACCATTAATTCAAACCCGAAATCCCACACCCTTTTCGCCAATCTTAGGTTATCTTTAGGACTGAGACTCAACCGTGTTTAGATCTTTACGCATACTGTAGGGGCCTAAACGATTACCTAAATTATGTCGGGGACTTCTTATTTAAAATCTGGTATAATATACCGCTATATAAAGGTCCCTTTAGGTACCTCCTGGCCTTTCCGAGGCGCGGAAGGCGAAGGGTTCTCGCCCAACTCGTCGACTTCCTGAAGCACACTTCGAGCTATAGCTCTAGCTAAACATTCTGTATTCCCTACTGTGATATACTAAACATCACTATCATATACTGTAATCTACTCTAATGTACTTCAAAACACAATACTAGGCTGAAGGTGCGAGTCCGAACTCCGGAGAACTTGGGCCGCTTCGGCAACCAAACAAAAAAGTGGGAAAGTTCTTATTGTAGCACCCACACCCGAACCCCAAAACAAAGACAGCACCAAGCCCAACATGACACGAAATCATAAGACCAAACCCTGAACCTTCAACTGCAAAACCCTGGGTCCAAGTCCTTTTGGACACCGAACTCACCGGACCTCAAACATTGAAGCCTACCGTGCCGACACCCCCTGTGCAAGACAAGTTATACAAATCCGAAAGCCCTCATAAAGCCCTTGAGAGACCCATATAACATATGACCCATATTCTGAAGCTCCTATAAGACCCTAATCAAGCAGTGACTGCACAAAGAGCTCCCGGCTGGTGAGAAATGCACAGCCCGCTCTTCCTGACGGCGAGACATCTTCCAGGAAGTTTTGAGCGTGAGTGATGGGAGGCCAAAAGGGGGGTTTAAGATTCTTGGGGTGGGGATTCCTTAATATGAACTGTATTATGGGAACCCTAATCCCTACTAAACCCCGCATAGGCTAAAACCCCTTTTTGGCCTCCTATGAGTGAGGATCAGAGACAGAGCTGAGGACTCAGGGAGCTCACAGCGGCAGCTACTGACGTAATGATCGCAGAAGAACTGTAGATCGAACAGTAACAAACATGAACTACAAGAAGACGAATGCAATGCAAGGGGGTTCCTTACTATAACGAAAGTACATTATACCCCAACACCCTATTCTAATCATTAGAGCCCGTATATTGACCACCGAAGACGAGCAGGATCAAAATCTAGGGGTCAATGCACCGATATAGTATATACCTTGGGCCGAAAATACCTATAGAGTGAGCACTTTAAGGCCAAAGTATCTTCTCTATGGATCTGCATCAAACCGCGCTGATGTGGCTTAGCAGATCAGGGATTCTCGGGCCCAGAATGATGTGCATCCGAAGGATCGTACAGCTTAGTGTCTGCCAGTGATTCTTGTCAAGAATAAAGGCTGCTACCCTCCTATCTGCCATATACCGCATAACCCCTCAGAGGGTGATGGAAAGGGTTGAGGCTGCATGGCAATACCAACTCTGCTGCATCCCTCCTACACACCACTTTCAGCCTACAAAGACGAAGTTCGTTAGCAATTAGTTGTGTAGACCTCTGAAATCTCGTGCTCGGAAGCCAAATGAATCCGTGCAGAATTCGCGCGGCCTCGGATTCATCGTCGTCCGGGAGGTCGGCGACTCTGACGAAACCTGTGCCTGCAACTCAGAGCGACCACCTTGAATGTTTCTCCCACCTATACCAGAGAAACGTCAACATGCCTGGGGTATTGGACCCAAGCCTGTCCGGAGCCGTTCGATGGAACGCCCAGGGACTCTAAGATCCTTTCCCCTAATGCTCCAGTTGCCTGTGTAATCGGTTACTGGTATGTATCTTATATGGACAGTGACTTACTAATTCTTTAAACTAACTGGAGCCCCAAGGTTAACTTACTGAAGACTGTTGCTGAGATCATGGTCTGGTTCCTTCGCACGTGATCCTTACTAGGTGATTTATGTTTTTGTTGCCTGATGTTTGGGTTGAGGGTTTACTGCAGGGTTTACGGCAGGTTTAGGGCTGGGGCGCACATGGACATGAAATGGCAAGAGCAAATGACAACGACAAGACCCGCCCTCAACCCAACCTAAAACTAGGTGAGAGTCGTACCCTGAAGCCCTGCAATGAGCCCACTTAGAAGACTTCACCTCCCCTACAGGGGTCCAGGGTTTCGACTCAAACGCTCGCTCAAGGCAGGCGTGGTCTAAGGTTTAACTTTAGCGGTCCGTTTAGAGATGTTGTAGAGGATTTTTCCCTCCTACCTAGCAAGGACGAGCGCGCATTGCAGTGTACATGTTGTAGAGTTGGGGTCTTTATAGGGTCTTAAGGCTTGGCTGCTCTATATTTTATGGTTTAGGCTTCAGCTTCATAGAGTTTGAGATTTGGGTCGGGGCTTGGCAGTCACCGAGAACCTCTAGAATATTCTAAACTGTTGTCCGTTTAGTCCACGAATATATTATGGTCAAGCGGGCACTCTCACCTGGCAACCACAAAACTCAACAGCAATCGAAATTCGAATTAATCATGTAAAGTTTACTCTATTACAGTATGCTTAGGCTTAGTACTAAGTTCACTGACGTCTCAAGTAATGGTCCGAAACCCGAAGGTGCTGGGCCCTGGAATATGGAAACAGAAGCAGACTCGCTTTCTCTCTTTCTCTCTCTCCCAAACGGGAGGTTCCAAAAATTGGGGACGCTAGTTTGGTACTCTAAATAATAGGATCCTTATAACTTATAAAGGCCCCCAAATAAGGTACCCCTAATTTTCTGAAACTCCCAATCCTGCCCGCTCCCGCAACCTTTCCGACAAACTTGTGAGTCGTCGCCGTTCATCTGGTCGTCCTGGGAACAGGCAGCCAGTGAAGAGGAAACGGAGATCCTTGTGGAGTCACGGGCTGGGGCCGGCACGAATGAAACTAAGACCCTGGAAGGTGCAACAGATTGACATGCGATCCGCTGCCATAGCAGCCTATAATCCAGCCTTTACCATCTAGATTTGAGGTTTTGGGGATTGGAGCGTTGTGGGGTGCGGGTTTGGATTCGAACGTTTCCGATTTCCCAACACCGACTTCCCTGCTGGGGCCCCGTGCTGGCGAAAATGACACAATCCTCTCGTCGGCCTGTTCGTTTTTGCTGCAACTTCCTTGCCTACAAGCTCAACGCTAAACCCCAAGCTCTAAAGCGGAAATCCTGCTCTTGACTCTTGTACACAGCTACTATCACCAACTGCTTGGCCCTGACCCCCAAACTCTTAGAGGCATTCTGGGTTTGAGGTTTTTTCGGGTTTAGGTTTTTTGGGGAGAGTCTAGAGCCAAGGGAACCACCGAGGCTGGCTGAGGGGTTAAACGAAGCCTTGCTCAGGAGTTTAGACGTTTAGAGTTCGAAGGATCCTTTCTAAGTCTCGGAGTTCTTTACTAGAAGACCTCCAGGGCCATTTGGGGTTTTGAAGAGTTCTATGGCTGGGTTCTCAGCAAAACAACGGCTCATGCCTACTACCTGGACCCCCAAAGTATGTAGAATAATAGCCTTTTATTGGTATTGGGCCATTATTTTACCTACTCTGGGAGGTTTAGGTACTCAGTCTCAGCAGACCCCAGGATAAACAGAGGACGAGGCTGCTACTGGGCGAGGTTCTCTGTTCGCCAGTGGGGTTTTCAGGGGCCTCACAAGGTGGGATGAAGGTAGGTGGGGTAATCCAAAATACGAGTCCTCATATAAGGGATCCTTAATCCTACCCTGCCTTCATCCCACCTTTTGAGGCCTCCGAGGTTGGCCTAGGTTTCGATCCCAGTAGCAAATCGCACATTGTAAAGCAAAGGATTCTCCCTTGTAGCTGGGTCTTGCGCACTGGGCAATACTATCGAAGCTGATCGTGCACAGAATAGCTGTGGCCACCAAACTTAGTTTGTACCAGTTTAAGACGGATCCGTCGGAAAGGGTTGCAGAGCAAAGGCGCCCGCTGTGGCTTGGTTATGGGGGCCTGACGACTCGAGCCTGTATTCAACCCGCAGAAATGCAGACCAAACGCCGTTTCCCTGGAAAAAAATTCATCGCAGAACCCGAAGCCCTATATAGCATCCAAGCCGCAACCCCAACTAAACCTTGAAAGCCCGAGAGCACCCCCCTCCCCCCTTTTCAGAAAGGTTTCTGGTTTCTCAAGTGCTGGGGCTTTGGAGCATCAGGATTCCTAGCCCCTGCCCGCCAGATCGCTTAGTTGGCTTTGCACTCCCTGTGCGCAGCCATGCTTGTAGGATTGGAAAATATGAACCCCACAAAAGGAACTACTATGGAGCCTTAGGGTAAACAAGACCCTTGCCGAAAAGCCCGACAGGCTCACCACGTTACGCTGACACCCAAAGGAACCGAAACCCTACCCTGATTAAAAAAAACCCTGAAAAGCCTGAAATCCTGAAGGTAGGGTTCGTCTATTGCATGTCGATAAGTCAGTGTTACTCACTCTGATTTCAAACTCGCCCTGCCACAAGCACGCATCAAAGCTAAAAAGTCTAACCCCGAAACCTAGCTAGAAGAACGACCAAACACTAGACCAACTCAAAACGATAAGCAAGCAGATTAAAGCGTTAGTCAACATGATTCACCTTAACCTTTGTACTGTTGCTGTCATAAGTTGCTAATTCTATAAATAAGCTGATAATCTGGCCTGACCCTCCCAAATCAATCAACACAAAGAACCCTGAGGCTCGAAAAGGCCCAAAGTAAGCACTATCCATAGACTTTAGACCCCAAAGTAGGTACTGCTTGTATACTTGGAGCCCTAGGGGAACACCGGACCTCAGGAGAGTCCTCCGGAAGTTCGGAAACTCTGACAAAGCCGGTGCCTGTCAGGGTTTGGGGTTTTGGTGCCCTACTACCTAGCAAGCACGAGCCTGCATTGAGTTTAAGATTAGGGTATTTTAGGGATAAGGTTTTGTTGGGGATTTCGGGTTGTTTTAATACTAAACCCTAAACCCTAACTTAGGGTTTAGGATTAGGAGTTGGGTTGAAGTGGTTGTTGGGGTGCTAAGGTTTTTCAGGGTGGGAGATATTCAAGAGTTAGCTTCAGATTACAAAATGCATATGTAAGGATGATGGCTTTAGGATTTCGGGTTTGGGCTTGGGGGTGTAGCAGTGTATGGCTCCGTTACACTTAGGGGGGTTTTGAGCATTCCAGCACACTGCAACTATGCCGAAGTAGAGCCGTCTATCAAAGAGTACTTGGGAGGTGCTGTAAGTGCGGGGGGTTGAAGATTTCAAGAGTTTCGACTTCGGGAATTCGGGTTTGTAGTGTCTATATCTAGTACCAGTATGTGCGGCTTAGAGTTCAGACCTTGTTGAATTTGGCAGGAAGGTGTGGGAATGTCAGGTTGATGATGCCTAGGGCTTAGTGCTGTGTGTATGGATTGCGAAATGGGGGCTTTGTGGGCTGGGAGGGTTCACTCATGTTGCGGCCAGATCACCTGGGACCCTCATTATATACCAAGTCCCTAAGCTCCCACACCAAGTCCCGAAGCTCCCACGACAGGCATTCAACACAAAGGAAGCGTCAGAAAGTGATGGGTTCGGTTTGAAACCCCTGACCGGAAGATCACACAACAGTCGAACTTTTAGGGTCCAAAAGGGCGCAACGTCACAAATGTTGTCGCCAACGGCTCAAACGAATACTGGAGGATCCTTCTTGTTGAGGTTCTCTAGCTCCATGCCTCAAGCTGAGAGGGCCGAAAACAAGACACCGAAAGAGTTGACCGATATGGCATCTGCTGCACAGTCGCGGCAAACACATCACTAACTCATTAGAACCTCCGGTGGACAAGACCACGCGACTACCGAAACCTCGAGCATGTGAAATCCAACCCGCCAACAAGGACAAATCGTCCCCAGTCTGAATAAACATCCCGTAACTGACTGAGGCCCTACCCTAAACCCTAATCCCTGAACCCTGAGCCCTAAACCTACACCCTGAACCCTTACTCTCCAACCGGCCCCAAACCAGAAAAACGCACCTTGCCGCCAGTTCGACGATTGGTCTCCACGTGACTCTTCAACTTCCTGGCCGGAGATGCCCAGAAACTGTGAGGGTAGCTCTCTAAATTAGGGTCCCTGTTAGGGTCCCCTTTTATAAGGGTGACACTCCAGCACAATTATCTCCCTTGCTTCTTCGTTGACACCTAATCATCGGCGTGAGCCATGAAGAAGCAACTCAAAGCCGCCTCTTTCTCGGTGCAGGCTTCGGTTTACGTTTCGTGGGTTACTTCAAATCCTCTGAGCCGATCATTCCATCCCTTTGCGTACTATGGAGGTCGGATGCCTAGCCTGTAAAGCTTGTGGGGTCTGTGAACCGGCACACTCACTGCTGCCTGGCAAACTGTACGCCACAAAGCTCATTGGGAGTACATCATGAGGACGAAGATTAGGGCTTGGGGTTGGGATTTTCGGGCGAGAGGAACAAAGAATCTGCGAACATTCCTTGCGGCCTTCAAGAAAAGACTGAACGAGGGGTTGTGCGTCCGGTCCTGTTTTCAGGCTTCAGGCCTGCGTAGGACGTGGTACGTTTTTGCAGGTGCTGATGAATTGCAAACGCTGAATTGCGAATTCCCATATGCAGCAGCACCCACACAAACAAAGACTTATGCCCTGCCCAACTCCACAACTTAAACACGCAAAACTTGCAGCTCCACTAGGCAGCCAAAGTCCCTAGAGCGAGTGCCCCACCGGTGAAAAGGTGACGTTCTTGCCAGCGACCTTGACAGTTCACCGCTGCGTCGTTGGCTAAGGAAACGGCATGAAACGGTTTTTGTTCCGCAGAATGCGTTGAGCGCGAAAGTGGAGTCAGGATCGCTTGGGGTGTCGGTCTTCGGGGTGTAGACTTGTCTAGCTCAAAGGTATTTTTCTTACAGATCTGGGATTTTGGCCTCATGGACTAGTACTTGCAGGTCTTGCAAAAATGTGGACGTTATCGGTTTCCGATTCTGGATGCCAAAAGCTGCAGGGTCTTCCTCGCGCCCAGGAAGCTGCAACAAGGCACCCCAAAGCCCTACAGCAAAATGCTCTAAAGCAAACAGCAAAATCTTGTCGTTCCCTAGGGCTCCAGTTAAATAAATAAAAAAAAATATATATATATATATATATATACACACACACATCTATTATATTATATACGGTTAGTAACATGTAGTAGCCTACTATCTGTTTAAGTAGCTGGAGCCGTAGGGCTTCATACAACCAGGACAACTCTTCTCAGCGCTTGTGGTGCGGCGCAAGTTATGGTTGCTACTCCCGAAAGTCATCGAAAGCGTTCCGAATGCCGCAAGTTGGTCGTTCCTCAGTCCGTGAGAACCCCAACCTCGCCACCCGAGCCCGGCAAACCTCGGACTCATCGTCGTCGTCGGGGAGGTCTGACATTCGGACGAAGCCAGTTCCTGGCGGAACAGCGACTGGACACTCTTGAGTTCAGAGAAAGTGATGGGTGTAGGCGCTTGGGCGACTCGGGTTCGGATCCAGGGAGTTGCAGGTTTCGAGTTGAAGGAGTACTGTTGTTCGGCCGTCGGGTTATATATAATCATACATATATATATATATATATATATCTATCTATCTATCTATCAATGTCAATACCAGGCGCTGAAGCTTTAGTTCAGGACTGGAGCGGGTCTAACTCTAACTTTGTAATACACCTGGACTGCACTGACGCGGAAAATGATGCTAAGTCCTACATGGGGTTCACTTCAACAAGGATCCTTTCAGTTCATGTTCACAAGGATCTGCTCAGTTCTACGATACAGGTGCAGCGGCGGGCACACGCACGCGGAATTGTCTTAGGCTTGGTTTCAAAATGACAAGAATCACATGGTGCATCAGCAGAGCGGACCTGCCACGGAGCTGTTCTCGAACCCCGAACTGACACGAACCCTAAACCCTGAACCCTATACATCCCAAAGCCCAAAACCCCTAGATCTCTTCAAACCCTATCCCACTTTTTCGAATCCTTGGAGACCTCACCCTCTAAGCTCCAAAGCTCTGAATCCTGAGCCCCCAAAGCCGTAAATCCTACACCCTCAACCCTATACCCTTAGAGTCTTAAACCCTAAACCCTATACCCATAAACTGTTAAGGCCCTAAACCCTAAACTCCCTTTTGCATCCAGGCCTATTGCGACTGCCGGGTAGCCTGAAGAAAGAGGAAACACACAAGACATAATGCCTTGCATGCGACCACTCTCAACAGCATCATACACAAGAACACATAACCCCTAAACTCCCTAAACCCTATAACCTTGAACTGTTAAGCCCTAAACCCTAGACCCGAAACCCTTACCCCTCAAACCCAAAGCCAGCCTTGTCGAGGAGCGACAGCTGAACCATCGTCACGAGCGTCCGCCAGGGCATCTGCCTCCTGAGCTAAGGTCCATGTACCCGAACTGTACATGCTTTGCAGCTAAGCTCCTCTTGGTAAGTATTGAGGGCCCTATAGTATATCCCTAAACCCTAAACCCTAAAGGGGTTCCTTTAGCACCAACAAGATGGTTTAAGCCCCTCTTTTGCACCTCGACTTCTGTGAGTTCAGAGCTGAGGCTGCCTGAGTTAGGTTTAGGGTTGAGGGATCACGGGTTTCGGGTTTCGGTGCTCACACTCGGACAATCCAGGCGAGGCATATGGTTCGGAGTCTGCCAAAGTGAGACGTTGCTACTGGGATGGTCATATGACGAATTGAAACAACGAAATATGGGAGCTTCCAAAAATTAGGGGTACCCTATTTTAGGGTCCTTATAATAAGGATCCTACCATTTAGGGTACTATATTGGGGTCCCCTATTTTCGGAAACTCCCATATATCAACGCATAAAGTGACTGTAGTGGCTTTGACTGCATCCCTCCCAAGGTCCTACGGTTTAGGCTTTACGGATTAAGGCTTTAGGGGTTAAGGGGCTAAGGGTTCATATAAAGGTTTGTTATGCAGTTTAGGTGTGGGATACAGTGTAAGGCTTGGTTCTCAAGTGTCCACAAGCCCTCTCTCTCTCTCTCTCTCTCTCTCTCTCTCTCCTGGGCTTGAGGGCGGGTCAGCGCCCCCGGGCATCATGCCCACCCGTCGTCTTGACGGGACCGGAGGGTCAGGAAAGAACGTGGAACACAGTCCCGGCTAAGGCCATAAAGGTTACGATGTCGATTGACTATGTTCGTACGTTCACCCACACACGTGCATGTACCATTTCTCCACCGACATTTATTACAAGCCCTCTCTCTCTCTCTCTCTCTCTCTCTCTCTCTCTCTCTCTCTCTCTCAGGCATTCGAAACGTCAAGCCCGGCTGCAGGACCCAGATGGTCCCCACGTGACACATGATTGGAATCCGAAACCATCTTGTCCAAGTCGCGGGATCTTGTCCAAAAAGCCCTAAACCCCAAATCCTGAGTTGACCCCAGACCCTAAACTATTAACTAGGCTCCAACCAAGCCTTCAGAACGCAAACTAAATTCTGAGCCTGAGCCTGGAACTTTAGCAAGTAGGGGAGCTTCAACTTTACTAGTTCATGGTTGGGATAGGACTAAACATTTTAACTAACTTTATTTTCCTTATTGGGTTTAAGTCCCCATAAAATTTAAATTTGTTACCCAACTATGACAAAGTTTAGGTCTGGGCTTAAGGTTCAGGGTATAGGTTTTCGGGAATACGCCACGTTAATACCACGAATTCTCTTGAACAGCCAGATCGTGCATCTTGGCAGGTTTCGGCACTCGAGTCTGACATGCTTTTTTCCTACGGAGCCTTTACTGACTTTGTTTCCTTACCTGGACCCCAAAAGTATGTAGAACAATAGCCTTTTATAGGTTTTGGGCCATAATTTTACCTACTCTTGGGGGTCTAGGTATCAACCATTCCTAGCAACAACATTGGATAACAAACGTTAGAGAGGCGCGTAAACATAAGAAAACCCTACGCCTCAAGCCCTGAAGTCTGGAACCATCGCAAGTGTTGCAGTAAAATCCGTCCAAGCCTGAAGCTTTTCGTAAATGTTGAAATCACCCGGCAGCCCGGTAGCCTTTCTTCTCAAGCTATCCTTAAGCGCACTCACACAGAGACCGGTCTGCTTTACTTACGGAATGGTTTTTAAGCTACAAAGATGGTTTTATCATGCGACCCATTTTCGTAACTGCCGGATGATGGACTTTCTAAGCAGCCCAACTGCATTGAAACTTCGAAATCTTTGAAGTCAAACGCTGTCACATGCAGGGACCCAGACAGGAGCAAACGTCACATTGCGCTGCGTCACCTGGCTTCGTCAGGTCCGAAACCAAGAGTATTTGGCGCACTTTTACCGGCAACCCTAAACCCAAGAACTACCCAACTTCTCTGGCCTGGGTTATATAACCCTTTAAGGGGGATCCTTCTTGGCACATGCCTTAGGAACTACTACATGTCTTTAAAGGGGAGATGGCTACTTGTAGCGACATGCCGCACAGGCAAAGGTGAAGCAGTGACGGCCGAAACTAAGGCCCTGACGTTGAAAAGCGCAAACCCGACACTCTACACCCCCCTACGCACCCTCAAGTCCAAACCCGATGCCCCTAAACCCCGCCTACACCCTAAACCTCTTCACCCAAAAAAGGACACAACACCCTCAACCCCTGAACCCTTTTGAAGCCCTACAAAACTCCAAACCCTACCTTAACCTACCAAAACCTACTTTTTCGTAGGGTCCGTATAAATGGAGGTCATGGTAGCTTAAGGTAACCCCTACACGCAACTCGCCTCCAGGTCCGCTTCTTCAGCATCCGGGTCGTCCTCCTGCATTGAAGAGTTACAGCAGCCCCCATAAAGTTGGAAATCGGATTAAGGCCAAAAAGATCCAAAAAGTGCTGAGATTCCTTCAACATTACTGTTACGGATTGAGGCTATTGGGTCTCCAACTGTTGGGCTCATACTATATAAGAATTTACCGTAAAGTCCTTAACAGTTAGGACCAGGTTGTGGGGTACTGTGAACGATAACTGTATAGATAAGACTCTACGGAATGGCATTGTTATTCTTCAGTGGTCTATGGTCCTGAATAAGAAGGGCAGCCGGTGACAAAACGAGCTGGATTTTGAAGTCCTGCTTTGGGTCATTGTGCCTTCGTGCACCCCTAGGTTTCGTTGCTGCGACACCTCACCATTGAACCCGACACATCCCACGTTGAATCACGAACTGGGACGCAGCCAACATGCGAATTTCAAACCAATAACAGTGACAGGGAACCCCTGAACAACAAACCCAACCTTACTGAATAGGTTTGAGAACCGTGCACGTTCAAGGGGGCTTCTCTGAAGGGTATCAAGGCTCCCGGTCACAAGAACTGACGCTTTCAGGTGGCTAGTCTCACCTAGGGTTTATAGGACTTAGGGGTTTTCAGGGGTTTAGGGTTGCGGGGGCTAGTAAACCCTAAACCCTAAACCCCTAAACCGTAGACCTGAAAAGTCTGAACTCAGCATGGAGCACCTCGAAGTCCTCATCCCAGTCGCCCTCATACTGGTCCGACAGAACTGTGGAGCTCATGTGAGAGGGCTCCTCCAAGTAACGGAGCGGGCTCGAGGCTGCTTGCATAGACGACTATGTATATTTTTTATGTATGCATGTATGTATGTATATGTATATATGTATATATGTAAGTACAGATGATAGAAGTGTATATATATATATATATATATATATATACACAGATATACAGAAGTATGTGTACGTGTGTATATGTACGTATGTAGATATGTATATATATATATATATATTGAGTGTATATACATATATAGACAGATATCGAGGACTTGGAGCTTCAAGGAGTTTACGCCTCCGTCAACCTGCCCCCAGGCCCCGGGAACGCCGGAATCACTGCAAGCCGCGCAACCAATTTCTTAAAGAACTGTGTCAGTTAGAAGGGGCCCCCACTATTACAGGGTGGGGGCCCCTTCTAATGTGTCAGTAAGCCACTCAGTAACCAGGAATATTCTTAAACCATATTAAGGATCCTACTATAATTGAAGGTATATTCATTAATTAAGGCGTAATGGAGTCTCTAGGAAGCCAATCTAGGATGCCAGCTTTTAGCTGAAGCTTCCAAGTGCGGCCCAACCTCCGGCCTGTTTCAGACTGTTGCAGATAACTTGGAGTTCTGGACAATCCCTCGCAGCATGAATGAACCCTGTAGAATATAAGTAGATATGATGAAAGTGTGTCTATACTTCATAATCGTAATATTAATAATAATAATAATCATAAAGATAATAAAAATTAAAAAATACTAAAAACAATAATAATAATAGTAACAATAATGATAAAATACTAATAATAAGAATAGTATTAATAGTAAAAATATAGTAATAATAACAATATGTATATATATATATATACATATATATGTATATATATATGAACCCTATAGAATCTGTAGACATAGAATGCTCAGCAGAAGCATAGCTGGCTCACCGACCTCTGCCCCCTCGGCAGCATTCGTCGTCGCCGACGTCTCTGTCTGCTCGACTTTTGCTTCCGTATCTGCGGTATTCGGCTCTGGTGCTTTGTAGGGAATGGGGGAATGGATCCCTGTGACAGTCCCTTAAGCTCCCTTAAAGTGGTCCCAATAACCCATTCCTCATTCCCTACTAAGAACCAGACAGTCGGGCACACAACTCAGGTTTAGGGTTTAGGGTTTAGGAAGAGACCTACGCCGTGCATAAGGGATGTGGACCCCTAGATGTGGCGTACGGAGCATAGCTCTCGTCATGTTCAAACCCTACCCTTAGCCCTAAACCCTAAGATCCAACTGCCGGGCTCAAGAGGACCGCTGTTCGACCCGGAAGCCTGTTCAAAAAAGCATGGTCGCCAGCCCCAACCAACCCCGAGCCCAGCACCCCTGAGCAACTTTTGCTTCAAGAACAAATCTTTTGAACGAGGTCTCTCTGAAGAACAAATCTTAAACTGAAAATCCAAGAGCAACGTACACCTCAACCCCAAAACGATCCTAAACCGGGAGCCCTAAACCGGCAACCTTCAACCTTAAACCAGAAGGACCCTAAACAAATCTCTGAATGCTGCCTCCTGGAGGCGTGTCCTCATTCACGTCCTCAGCTCCTGGTCACGAAGAGCTTGATCACTATCCAGGCTGCGGGTTTTAGCGCTTCAAAACTAAGCAATGTGGGGGCCTCAATAATTAGAATAGGGATTTGAGGCCCACTACACAATAAGTATAATAAGGAACCCCCAAACTAAGATAGCTAATTATTTAGGCCCCCTACAGCATCTCTAGAACGGCTGCAGGCTCCAGGGCTTTGGGGCTCTACCAAAGAACTTTAAGGTTATATATGTGCTACAGGGTGGCAGGAACTCTAGGGACGGATGCAGAATGATCTTGAGGCCTCAACTGCTCTTGTTAAAGCATCTAAGTTAAGTTGGCATGGCAAGGATGTCCCTATTATGATGATACTGTCACATTTCAACTAAATTATAACTACATTCTTTAGCTAGAAAGCAGTCAAGGTTGAAGGCGTTCAGCACGGTGACGATTTTGGGGTCCCTGGAGGCCCTGATATGATAGGAACCTCCCCTAAAGCTCCATGAACATGAAAAATAGTATATATATATATATACTTAGGCCTTAAGGTGGCTATTTAGGAACCCCTTAAAGGCCTAAGCTTAGTATGTACTATAAGAGGGGCACATGGAGCCTAAGGGCCTCTTCAAGCACACAATGCCCCGCAAAGTGCACGGGCGCGGGCAACATCTTGGGGAACCTGCAGTGTAGTACAGGGGGCTTACAACAACTAGAATAGGGCTTTGGGGTTCGTTATACTATAATTATAATCAGGAACTCCCCGAAATTGTATAGGTAACTAGAAAGGCCCCTATATTAAACGGGCTGCGGCTTGCGGCTGAAGGCAGGCCCGTCTCCAAAACCCTGAAGCCCACACCAAAGAGCCCTCTCCCCCACAATTGTTTCATGGGGGACAGATTCGGGGTTCAATGCTTTATGGGTAAGTGCTTCGGGGTGCAGGAGTAGGCGCCGAAGCCGAAACACTCCGAGGGGGCTGAGGAGGGCGGACCTCCCGAAGTCACGTGGGCCTCCAGCTCTTGCTGCATCTCCACCTGGTCAAAATTAGGGTCCCTTTTTGGGCACCCTAAATATTAGGTGCCGTATTAAAACAGGGACCCAAAATTGGACCCTAATTTTTTTTTTTACAACCACCCACCTCAACCCAAAGCAGGGAGTGCTGAACTCAAAACCCTGGAAGTAGAAACCCCTAGCCACCCTAAAACCCCAAAATTTCCAAACCGTAAAGGCCTGAACACCTAGACTTCCTGGCAGAGACTACTATTTGCTTAAGGACCCCCAAAAAATAAAAAATATATTCCTTATGGGGGTAATATACGGATTATTATTTTTATTCTTTGGGGGTTTCTTAAGCAAATAGTAGGAGAAAAGTCTAGACTGGGGGCCTGGCTTTAGCTGTCGGGATGTACGACTTGGGGCTTAGAGCTTTCGAGGTTCTAGTGGTAGGTCGTTCAGACGGAGGTGGAGTTCATGGGACTTAGTGGCTGCTTCAGGGAGAGCAAAAGCTACTTCGAATCAGGTACTACAGAAACCGAGCTGATAAATGATAAAGGCTGATTGATAAGGTCGCTGCAGACCGTTGGGTCTGTTGAGCCCGCTAGAACCGTAGCCCCGCTGCGACAACAATCTCGGAACGCCGCGACCACACTCCCAAGGCCATGCACCCTGAACCCTAAACCGCTCATGCCCAACAGCTCGTAGCTCTATGAATGCCCTCGGAGGTCTCAGGTCTTAGGGCATTAGGATTTGATGGCACTCGAAATTCAGTATTTTGTAGCTGTGTCAAGCCTACAAATGTTGATTTTCCTACAGGTGTTCACCACCAACATGCTCAGAAGATGAGAAGCCGTGATCACAAACTATCGCAAACATGATATGCAAGGTCAGCGCATATCTCGAACGCACCCTTCGCGCCGAGCGTGAAGAGTTGCCCTAAGGATTCCAAAGTCTCCCTCCAAAGTCTAGCCAACGGTCAACTCCTCAAACCGGTGCATTCCCTGCGCACCTGCTCCATTGAATCCTGCGCAAGGCCGGCATCTCACAGAAACAATCCAATCGAATACTTAACTCACATCTAACTGAAAAAGATTGCTATGACTGCCGTGACGAGCTTGACCACCGACTGTGCTACACTTACTTAACTTAGCTGCTCTCATCATCAAGAACCTCCACTGAACACACCGTTTCTGCCTTTTTGCATTCGGCTTTCCACTTCGCCCGGATTCCCCCTAAACCCTAAACTAAACCTTCCTCCGGCTCGAAATCGTCGAAGTCGTCGGCATCGTACTGCTCGGAGAAGATGGTGGAGCCTTGTGCATCCTGCGCGAGGATTCGAGTCCTAGGCATCCCGTGGCTGAATCCTCTCTGAGCCTTAGTTTCGTGTAGATCCTCCTTCCTCAGGTCCACTCGGACGTGTCACACTTAGGGCTTCTGGTGTATGGGCTGGTTAGGGTTCAGTGACACCTCGGGTCTGCGGCGTGCGCATTGTCGTTCGTAGGCATAGGCTTTGTCGTTTCCTCCTGCGAGTGTCTTGCATGACAAACCCCATAATTTCCTGTGTGCGAGACCGATCCCCAAGCTCCCAAAAAACTAAACCTGCTAAACGGCACAGGATGCTCAAATGTTCAGGCCCCTGAAATCTAGACCCTTAAAATCAGAATTAAATCTGCACGTAGGGCTTGTTTTTGCAACCATAACACCACAAACCCTAAAAGCAGAGGAGCCCTTGACCCGACCTGTGCGCTGAAGGCTGCCGGGCTTGTCTGCGCATCTGCGGCTTCATTCGCAAGCTCCTCTGGTCCTGCTCCAGGGTGCTCTTGTGAGTTTTATAGGTGCTTCGCAGCGTTTGGTTTGGGTGCAGGTTTACGGTCGTCGCGTTTGAGGGTCTCAGGTTGTTTAGTTTTAGGTTCATTATCCATATACTGTTTTTCAGTCGCAGACTGCCGGCCACGGTTCGCAGCACGACATGAGGATGGCGATCGTCTGGCTACCGTGCTACGCATGAGGTAGCACGCTGTCCTCTTTGCTCAATGCGGTAGGGTGGGATTGCTTAAACGTGCCAGGGACTTCCCGTGCCCTCTCTCCACGTGCGGAAGCTGACCCGGTTCCTGCCTAGCGTCTGTTGCATCGGCTCGTCTGCCATCGCTCCACCTCATGCAAATCGGCAGCTTCTCATCTATCCTTATGCTCCCGTGTTGTGCTGCATGCTTACCTATCCTGATTCATGTAAGCCCGAACTGACTCATTGCTGGTGCTTACACTTTAGCACATATTGACAGAGATCCTCTTTCGCTCCGTCGCCGAAGAATCTCAAGGGCATCATATACTTTCTGTCTAGGCGCCTGCTGCCGGAACATGTGCGTGCAAAGAAATCTCTGAAGTGCAGAAACCCATCGTCACCGGGGTTCGGCCTTGGAAATCAAAGAGTGCACGCAAATCCCACCTGTCTATGTCACGATACTACCATTGTAGTCGAACAGTTCGCATTGGGAACATGATTGGATCATGCTCTTGCCTCCTCAAGCCTTATGGCTTGTCTTTGCTAAGTTCCTTTTCTCTACTCCCCTCGGCTTAAACTCTTCATGCGCAGACAGAAGAGTATGAACCCTTTGCGCGCCTGAGGGGGCAGGATGATCCGCTGCGGGGTGGTCCGCTGCGGGATGGTCCACCTCATGGCCCGAGGGCTTGCAACGAGATGAGAAGGCTGTTGGAGTGCATAGTTTGACTCAATTCGGGTGAAGTGTGTGGGGCTTGTCCTTCCCGGCAGCATGCCGAAGTTCAACTAAGTCGGAGGGGGGGTCCATCAGGAAGCATGAAGAAGTTGAAAGTTACTAGGCAGTTATATTGAAGCTTACTTCTTGTCGGAATGTGCCCGCCGTGTGTTCTGGCCATTGCTGCCGTTTGGAGAATCTAGGCGGTTGTTTCGAAAGCTTAAGGGGGATTGGTTAGAGCCTGATATGAGCGTGTTGTTGAGCTTGGCAGGTCGCCGTCTTGGAAATGACTTTCTGAAGTCACCACTGCTGTTGCAGCACTAGATCCAGCAACCTTAGCAATCACTAGCAGCAACACAACCACCACCACGACCACCACCAACAACAAGAATAACAGGAGCAACAACAGCAGATAACTGCAACAACGTCAACCAGAACAACAGAGTCAACTCCCACATGATTGCGATGAGCATCATCAGCAAGGGGCATCGACACCAAGATCCCATGAACATCATGGTCGCTTCCTTCATGGCCGGTTCCTGCGCTGAACTTCGGTTTACCATCCTGAAAACATATCGTACTGGCAACTGACACTAAGTCTTCCAAAGAACCCAAAATCCGGCCTTGGTGTCAGCCTCAGCTGGAACTGGCGCCGGCTGTTCAGGCACCTCCTCCTCTTCCACCTCCTCCTCCACGTTTTGCAAGGCCTTCGATGTAGAAGATGCCAAGCTTTTGATGCATGACCGATGCTATTCTTCCTACCTGTGCTGCTCTTACTAGTGTTGCTGCCATGCGGTGAAATCGCCTTGCGACTGATCTCTGACTAGGACTGACTTTCCGCTCTTTAAACAAAATTATTTCATCAGACTTGGCACTGCTACCTGTCGCCAATGCCTCACGCATAAGCACCGCAAGCCGTTTGAGTACAGATTCACACATGCAAGCCTTTGAGATTGGTAGATGGGTGGTCATTACCGACTAGTAGGCACCACAACCTAAGTCCTTGTAGTCGTAGTGACACAACTGATTATGACATGCATACGGTCGCGGAAACTCGTGCTATGAACCAGCATGGCAGGAACACGAACAATGATAACACTGGTATCAACTTATGCAACTTATCTTAACCGTTCTTGCAATCCTAGGGCACAGCGCTGTCAATACGACTCATGATCCCGATAACAACAACGATCACAACACCAAATGCGCATCAAAATGGTTAGACTGCCGGTGCTGTTACCCATGATAACAGTAACCCTGTATCAGGCCGACCTGTTTGACCTCGACGCTGGGCTCTGACACCGAGTTCTGCTGCGAGAAAAGGATGGCCTCAAAGAGCAAGCAATGGTGTTAATGATACTAACAAATCTAATAATACTAACAATACTAATACTAATAGTTAAGAATACTAGTAGTAATGATGATAATAATAGTTTATGATTTTTGAGACTTGGGCTTGGGGGTTTGCGGTTCTACTCGAGAGGCATTGGGCCTGTGGGGAACTAGATTTGGCGCCACAGGTCCAGTCATAGTAGTTGGGGCTACTCTAGTCATATTTCTTAAGCCGAGGGATGATATACTTGCTAAGCCCAGGGAACATCTGAGAAGGCTCACACTTGTGTCGAGCTGGGATGCTGGAGCAAACGTTGGGTCCAGGCTGAGAGCGGTTTTGTGGGCCGTGTCACGACGTCGGTGCGGATGGAACTATCTCCTTTCTTCTCCCAATCTCAGTCTCTCTCCTCTCTTCTCAAGCAGAGAGCAACTGTGGACAGCAGGTTAATGCGGTCAACGACACGTCTGGACTTACACGCTGCAAGCCTCATGATTCAGGGATCGGGGTTGCGAGGTTTAGGGGGTTTCTGCATTTCGCGGCTCAACGATAAAAAAAAATTGAAGCAGCAGTGGGTTGGGAAAGCCAACGAAAACACAGCATTAAACCAGTGCAAATCAACGCCCATAAGAAACTCTAAACTCTTCGAGCCCCCCAAAGATGTCAGCATGAACAGCCGGCGCGCCTCGTCCAGCTTGACGGCTATCCTCGGCAGTGCTTTGCTGGGTTCTGATTGCTCCAACACTAAGCCCTTGAAACCCAATCCTGAGCTTTCCCGAACCTAATGTAAGGGCCTGAATAGCTAGAATAGAGACTGAGGATTTCTAGCCTTTCTGAGGAGCTTCACCGGGGGGCCAGGAAGGGGACGGGAGCGAATCTTCCTCAGATCTGTGCCTTCTGCTGGGAAAGGAAAGCATAAGACTCACCGATAGCTTGTCCAAAAACGTAATTCTTCAATTCAGGTTCTCGATGGACTTGGTCTTCGCCGTAGATCTGCTGAGCCCACTGGTTGAGGTCGCCCGGACTAGCCCGCAGAGTTACAAAAACAACTCCATGGCAAAAAGCCCTCCGGCTTCGTGCAGAAGAAGTATTCCTGAACATGCACGCCAGGCCGCTTGTTCGGTCGCTTCAGCTTCGGGGTGGCGCTCTTGCTGCCTCGGGCATCCTAGTGGGTTAGAAACGGGCCTTGATTATTTTGACAGGGTCCGAAGTATTGGGGCAGGGTGTAGTATAGTCATTTTGTAAGAAACCCTTTAGGGACTGGTATTAACAATTAACCAGGCTTCTAATTATGCCAATCTAGCCACACTTGTGAACTCGAAAAGCAGCACTGGAACTTATCCTGAATGCACCACGTCTTCATGCCGAACCTCGGAACAGGATGTCTTTTGCATGAGCGCTGGGCCCTACTTTAAATCTCACAAGTGCCCAATTACGGGCGAACTAACATGAGTCAGAAAGCCGCACCTTCAAAACACAAGAACAACTAAGCACCTGAAGGATAAGAGGACTTGCAACGTCGATCACACTTGGGGTTGTCTCTTACTTGTCATGAGAACATTTCTTCCCACCCCCTGCCTGCTATGTGTGATGGGCGTCTAAGTGGTCCCGATAACAAGCCGTGAGCCTGAAATCCGAACCCCAGCAGAAAAACACTCTGAACAAACCATCAGAATATATACTGAACGGCCCGATATTGCAATAATCTTGAAAGTAACAGCATCAGCCATGTGATAACCGAAACTGAATGTAAACCATTGCAGGGTAACCTTTAATTAATCTAGAAATAAAGCCCCATACTGCAGCACCATGCGTTGAACCATGACTGTTGAGACCCGGCGGCAGCGACGGGCGAAAAGGAGACGAAGCGGACGATGTCTCTGAAGGAGCTCGAAGCAATCGTGCCTAGTTTCAGGGCTTATAGGGCTTAATTACCGGTTAAGGTGGGGGTCGGGGGTTCAAACTTTACTTCGTTTTCCGACATTCCTCTTTACCCGGCTATCGAGTTTACCGGGACACTACAAAAAAGTAGGTTTTGGTATCTGAGGGTAGAAGTAAGACTTGAAGAGTTGGAGTGCTTAGTGTTCTGCTCCCCACAGACCAACCGACTCGAGAAGTCCCGGTTTTAATTGCCGTACAAGCCCCGGACACCCAGTAAACCTTGATTTCGGGCGGCAGCTCTCCCCGCTTCTTAGCAGTTTCTTGACTTTCTGACTTTAGTGAATATGACTTTTGGGGGCCTTCATTTGCTGTTGGCCTCCCGCGTTGCTGAATGCGTCGCTAGGCAGGGAAGAAGTTAGGAGGTTAGGGCTTCGAAGTTTGGGGATTCAGAGATTTGACGGCTGGGGCTTCACACGGCTCTCTGTTCTATAGAGAATCGTCGGACCCGATTCCCTAATCAACGCCTGCAGGGTGTGGGCAGAAAGTAGCCTTCGATTTTAATGTTCACAGTGTAAGAGTATGGTCAGGTAGGGGGTTCCAATGCCCAAACGTAAGCTTGAAAGGTCAGGTTGCTCGGCACGGCATGCCCTTACTAGACGGGGAAATCCTGAGTAGTCTTCTCCTTCATCCCATCTTGTCTCTTGACTTACGCCCTGTCACCGTTTGAGCTGGACACTTGTCAAAATCACAGTCAAGGACTCCTGCATTGACAAGTGTAACATGACATAACAGAATAGAACAAAACGATGCATAAGACCAAGCCTACATTATGCTCGTGTATTCTGGTATTTGGTCTCCAGACACCGCGAGAAAAGCGCGGGAAAATCACCGCAATTCAGCCAGGATGCTCCCTCATCCTCGGGTGCAATTTCATGCAAGGCGAGCTTCGGGAATGGTTTAAAAAGGGGGGTGATGTACTTATCCCTAGCCCCTAAACTGGAGGAGCATGGCTTCGTGATGTTGTGTAGTTGTGTAGCAGAGCTGTAAGTCTAATCTCTGGGCTCTTTTCAGAAGACCCGCCTAAACCTTAAAACCCTCAGCCCTCAGCCTCAAACTTGTTCAGAACGCCAGGCTTCGCTCCTAAACTTGACCAGTGTCCCGGCTAGTACATAGGAAAAAGCTGAGGCAGCTGTTTACAGGTGGACGTTAAGAGGTCATGAGAGGTCAAGGGACTACACCTCTCCAGATATTTCAATAGTGTTGGGTTTTAGGGTTCATTAATAATGATGTTCAGGTGTTGGCTTGGGGATTTAGGGTTTAGGGGCTTACAATGCGCATGTGCATAAAAATATATATACACACACACATGACAGGGGTTTGGTTTACTGGCAAACTGTTGAAGGCTAAGACTAAGAGCTGCATCCGTAGCAATCTTAGAGTCGGCCCTCAACACCTCAATTTCCCAACATTAAAGATGCAAGAGTGCATGGTGTAAGCATTTCCTCGATGTAAACTCATCAGAACTCCTTCTCTATCTTTTCGGGCATTCTCTTTGGTAGTTCTCTACCTTAGGGTCCCTTTCTATTTGGGCCCCCAAGAAAGTACGGCACCTTTATTGACGGACCCTGAAAGAGAGAGCCACCGACTTGGTATGGTAATGCTAAGCCTGGTCAAAGCTCACAACTCGGTCTTGTGGATTGCAAGCGCCCGCAGAACCTACTGTTGCAGTGCATGTACCACATAGAACCAAGGATTCTAGAATTTATAGAGTTTCAGCACGGATATCTCAGCCTCGAAATCCACCAAAAGACATGTGAGGCACACACCGGTCGCACTTAAACTCCACACAACTAAGGCAACAACTACCGGACTGCAAGGTAGAACTCTAATCAGCGGAGCATCTTCGTGACAGCGTCCCCGTTGATGCTTATCAGCCAGTCGCCAGGTTTCAACCTGGCAACATGGGATTTTCCGAAAATGAGGGATACCTTACTTGGGGTCCTTATTATTAGTAAGGATCCTATTTAGGGTACTATATTAGGGTCCCCTATTTTCGGAAACTCCTACATGAAGCCCCGCTGAATTGCAAAGTTGCAATGGGGTCGAGGCTTCGGGTTCTGGGACGCGCCTTGAACTCCGGACAGAAGAACCCCCAGTCATAGTCAGGGCGGTCAGGGGTCTTGGGCTCCTTTTTGATATCAGTCTTTTCGGCCTGGTTTCCACCTGAACCACCTTAAGAGAAAGGAACAAGGAACAAACTAGCAATATTAAGGAAATCACAATCGCTTATGCTAAAAACCGTAAGCCCTAGAATCCTAAAACCCTGAACCCGTATAAAACCCTAAATAGGATCCTTAAGGGAGGGTGGCTCAAGGGGGGAGGGTACAAGGAATCCTCAGGGGAACCTTAGGGAGTACTAGGGAGAGTTGGGGATCACTAGGCTATGTACCCCCCTTGGAGCCCCCTCCCTTAAGGATACTATAACCTAAACTCCAAACCCCCAAACCCTAAATCCACTAAACCCTACAGCCGCCTGACAGCATGGGCCCAGGAGGACTTGAGGATGGTCCTGTCAGGGATTCGCTGGGGTCTAAGATATCATTTAGGTACGGCCCCCTTACAGTAAGAGTCTATAATAGGGCTACTATTAAGATCCTAATATATCTATATTATGAATATGATTCAACTATTACTAAGATATCATAAGTAGAGTTTCAGCATTCACTCTCGGACGAACCACAGCGAGGATTCCAGTCCCGACGACAGCACTATCATAAGTAGAGTTTGGGGTTTAGGGTTTAGGGTGGGCCCCAAAAGGCACATAAGCAAAAAAATAGGATAGGAATATCCCGTATAAACCCCCTTATAAAGAAGCCCAATATGGTAGGGATATCCTTACAAAATGCTTATGCTTATGCACTTTTTGGGTCCCGGAATAAGGCCTACTGTCTATAAGGGTTACCATACGGGCTCTATAAGGGCTCGAAAAAGGATCTATAAGGTTCCTTACTGAGTGTCAGATCTCGGGTTGAGGGCTTGGGGTTGGGTTTAGGATGCACGTATCTTTGCTTGGGGTTGCGGGTTGAGGGCGTGGGTGTTTGAGTTCGGGGTTTATGGTATAGGTTACGGGTTTGGGTTTGGGTTTAGGGCGCATTCGTTTCGGGTCGAGGCTACTTTCCCCTAAGCCCTAAACATCGCTCCGCGAAGCTTTCAGTAGTCCAGAGCTCTGGTCTTCAGATTTACCACTTTGCTTTAGGGGCTTTTTTGGGGCTTCGAAGTTTCATGGGGTTGGAGGGGTTTGGGAGTTTCAAGACTCGGCGGTTACAGCGGTTACAGCCTGAAGTCTTAAGGTTCAGGTCTCCATATCAAGGCAATTGTTGTTTTCATTAGCGGGGATATTCGGCCCGCTCTCGGCGCCGCCATGACCTGCTACACGGCTGGGCATTGTGATGACAAAAAGACGGCACACGATAAACTTTGGGAGAGGTTGGGTAGTGAGCACCATGCTTTCGATGAAGAGTCCACAAAACTGCGAAAGGCACAGAGCGGTGTATGAGACTTTATGCAAAAACCTATTCATGCTGAACTCTAGTCTCCAAACCCTACATCCTAAGCCCTATAAGCCAGAAACCCTAAATCCTAAGCCCTATACACCCGAGAAGTCCCAAACCTAGACCCTGTAGCCTGTAACTTATCCTGTTCCGGAGAAGTCCTGACTGGAAGACCACCTTCTTGCTCCTGCTGTGACTGTGGGTCAGGACACACTCCAAGGTTGCACTTGCTCGGTAATATAGGGGCAAAAAAGTTGGAATACTTGTTGCTTTTTTTTTTTTTTTTTGGGGGGGGGGGGGGTGGTATACTGTACTAGACGACTGTGACACACCCCCATAATACCCCTTATAGTAACCCTGAAAGGACCCTTTTCTGAGAACCCTTGCAGGAACTTATTAAGGCCCCTGTACCATAGACTCCTGTTGTAGATCCCCTACAGGCCCCTTTAAAGGGCCCCTTAAAGCAACCCTATAGGAAATTATTAAGGCCCCTATGTCAAGCTGGAAGGTGGGTTAAGAGAGCTCAGGGCCGGGTGGGTGCTGGGATTCTCCGTGCATGGCATCGCGGCCTTCATGGGTTTAGGGCTTAGGGTTTTAAGGGGTTTCGGGGTTTAGGGCTTAGGGTTTAAGGGCTTCGGGTTTAGGGCCTTGGTAAAGACTTGGGAGCTTACGCCTGAGCCCCAATACTAAGACGACGCTTCGAAAGCATAATCGACATGTGCTTTTCCCTGGCTATGGCCAAGCTGCCGGAGTATATTCATCTTGAACTCTTGCTACCCATAGGATACACCCGTAAGCGCTAAGAGGATGTATTCAGATGAGATGGGTGTCTCAATACTGAACACCATCGAGCGTGTGGACGGACACTTCCCGCTAGGAGGCCCCAGCAAACTTTATGAAGGTTCGGAAGGGACAGCAAGGTCAAACGCCGAAGTTGCGTGTGCGGACTTCCACCGGAGGTAGAAGCAATGAGCAACACATGTTGACACCCCAACCCGCAACAAAGTAAGTCCTAGCGAACATGCAGATGTACAGTTCAAACTGACGCTACGTAACTGACAGCACAAGAAGTGCAAGCACAACCTGGTATATAGTGTGTCTACACATGTTGCAATGATTTTGGTTCCCAGCTGTGGTTTTGAACCTCTTCTTATGCTTTCCACCCAATATACATGCTGTCTTATAGACATGGTCGCAACCATTAGTGTTGAAGCTGTTTTGGGATTTTGTCAGACCCCTGACAACTACCCTAGAACCTGCCGTGAACTACTGTTACCAATTTCTTTCTAGAGGGTACTCGTTACTTTCAAGACACAACAGCGTAGGTTATTCAAAGGGGAAAAGGAGGGACCCTTAATAAGGACCCCTAGGTATATACCCTTAATATAGCTATTATATACCCATTATATAGCCCATTATAGGGCAGCCGGGTCCCCATTAAGGGTCCCTCCTCTTCCCCTTTGAGTTATGGCAGGTTAAGCTCGACATGCTCGAGCCTTAACCGGAAACGATAAAATCAAACCGCCCTGCGAAACGTAAACTGCAAGGTTTACTGCTTTAGGCTTTTCTTTGGACTTCGGGCTTGGGGGTGTAAACATCATATGGCTTTTTGATGTCTACAAGCTCTCGATTTAACTTCGAGTATCTTTTCCCTCTCGCACTGCTGGCAACTATTACCATGGGCGAGGTAAGTTTGGGGAATCTTTGACTACATGTGACTACATGCAGAGGTGGTGATCAATTTCGAGTATTGGCGTTCAAGATTTAGGCTTTAGGAGACCGGCCTCCAACGGTCCGAACTTCAAGCCGAGCTTGTCTGTGTCCCAACAGACGCGCACGGGGAACCAGCCTGGGTTTGGGGTTTAGGGTTTGGGTTTACGTTTTATAGGGTTCAGGGTTTGGGTTTCGACGAGCACAGTCGCACAGGGCCGGAACGGATTCATGGGTCGGGCTTCCTACTTGTACATGATAGTGATAAGGGCTTGGCATTTGGGCTTTATGCTCTTTCGGACAAGCCAGACGAGGTCTCTCGGTACGACTGCACACTTCTTGAGGGGGTGGGAGCAAATCAGAGTCGTTACGTCCAGCAACAAACCCAAAGACATATTACTCGAGGGTTCATCGACTCTAATCGCCAAAGCAAACTTTGTGCCCAAGGACACAGCCAGCAGGCTGACTCGGTTCGGGGTTTATGGTTCAATAACTCGCAAGACCCAAAGCCTCAGGAGAGGGGCCCTGGATAAATTCTTGGGGCATAGGAGTACAGCACAGTAGAGTTCGTTCTTAAGCCCTGAAGCCTCCGCTCTTTTTCAGGAGAAGGGGCCGGGGGGCGGCGGGTTCGTATTGAGGATCCGAATAGTGACCTCACACGGTTGTCACTAGGTTGTAATCTGGATCATGAACCCAGGTTCTATCTGGTCTCTCGGTCAAGGAGCATTTTTGCGTTCGCGTGCTGCGCCGTTCGGACCGATCGCTATACTTGGAGATCGTCTGCTTTGAAGTGGTCTGCGAAGATGGCCTTGGATTGAAATGCTGGTTTAGGGTCTTTATGATGGATCAAGGTTCAGGGATTACGGCAGCTGTCGCGCAATCGCTATCGTGCTCCTGTCCTTGAAGATAGTGCGACCATTCCTTCAGGTGGTTCTCGGTGTCCTACGATAGAGTATGCACTTTTGTTTTCTTTTGCAGTCTAAGCCTAAGCCACGAGATCAGGATCTGGCTCGTTCAAGCTTGCGTTTCGAGTTTTGGGCCTTGGGCTAAGCACAGTTGTGGTTTAGGCATCTCTGTAAGGGCTACACATCGTTCGGGGCATGGGGTCCAAATCCCTGTACCTCTAAATCCCCGTTAGAGTTTATAAGACGAGCTGAGTTAAGTCTTGTGCTTGACACGTTCATTCAACATTCCGTGAGTTTTCGGAGGAAGGTTCTACAATGTGACTATGCAGTACTATTCTGTTTCCGGGCCAGATAGTGGGTATCACTCCATGGACCTCGGGTTACCTAAATTTTCTGGGACTAGATACCTATGATCGAGACCTTGACATGAGGTCCATCTGTTCTTGGCTGACTTCCGGGCCCACGGCATAAGGTTTAAAGGCGAGATGTGATGGGCTCTAACTCTAACCTGAAGGATCTGGTCTGAGGCCTCCTAAACCCAATGCTTTCAGCCACAAAGCCTCCTATGCTGGAATGGGGGGAAGGTTTGGGGTTTCAGCACTCAGGAAGGTTTGGGGTTTCGGGATGGGGGTTCAGGGAAGGGTTACAGTATGCAGACAGACAGGTACGTAATCCAGCTCCTCAATGACACCAGATTCGATTACAATGCATCCTTCGTGCAACCTCCATGTTTCAACCCTCTGCCCTAACAGTGAGAGTAAATCCCAATCTTCCGGCCCAGTGGCATGCTGCTACCTCGCCCCCAAAGCTGCCCAGGGCATTCGAAGAGCTTTGCTTCAAACGGTGACACACTCCCCTCCACGGGGATCGATTCCGTGAAACGCGATGTCTGTCACCCCAAGCCTTGAAATCTAAACACTTCAGCGTATGACTAGTCTTCGGTATGTGCCATGACAAGATTTCGGGCTCCTTCCGCCAAGATCCTAAGCCCAACAACGGGATGAGAGTTGCGGCTGACATTGTGCAGGGGTTTTCTCTTGAGTAACTCAAAAATCTGGAACCTAAACCAGCTTGGCTCTAACCTAAACTCGGCGCCGAAACTCTAAACCCAAACAACCTAAACCCTAAAACCCTCAGCTAAACTCAACTCGCAGCCCTAGGGGCTTGAGCCGTAACTCAATGGAGCTCGAAGTGGCCCCTCAAGCATTTGGCAACCGCTTTTGGCTTAGGAGTTAGGGACTGGTCTTTGGGCTTGAAGAAGTGAGAGACTGGTTTGAGCAGTCGGCTTCGGGTTCAATCTATCTGGGCATGCTCAATTCAGATTTCAGGTGCACTGGCGGCAGGATGCCAGCAACCGTTGACGAGGGCACCATTTTCATGCCTTGCTCGTGAAGTGTCAAGTTGGAATCTCCGCCTCTGGTGGGAGGTGCTTCTGACGAATAACGTCGACCTTCTTCAGAAACTCGGCAAAGTCAGTTTCATCCTTCAAGCCGCAAGACTCAAAGGAGAATAACAGCCGCCGTCGTAGAATTGATGCTACGATCCCGAGTCCTACAGCGGCAGTCATCATTCGATCAATAATTGTGACAAACAAGTTTGTATTACGCATAGAATAGTGCAAATGGTACTGATAGAGCTGGCAATGACGGCAGCACAACAACAAACGCCAGCTGCAAACATCACCTGCTAACAAGGAGTTGCGTGACGGCGAGGACAAGCTTCACGATAGTGGTTCATCATTACCAGGACTACGACTATATGCCTACTATCGCTACACTATATACCTAGCCGCACTTAGTGATATCAACAAGCAACTGGTCAAGCCCAAGGATGATGAGGCTGAGGTAGCGAGTTTGAGCTGACGATCCGGAGGAGATCGAGGCTTGAGCAGGTTATGGGGCTAAGGCCCAAGGGCCAAGGCGAAGGGTGTAGGGTTCAGGGTTTAGGGGTTGGGGGGTTTAGGGTTTAGGGGTTTCATGAAGCACTCACACTCGGACATGCCTGGGCGAGGATCCTGATACACGGCTGACAGCGCATTGGCTGAGGGAGAATCCCCGGTTTAAGGATTCTCAAGCGTTAACAAGTTTAGGTTTTTTTTGTTTAAGCTCCTTTTCTCCAAGCCCGAAGGTCCGAAGAGGCCGTAAAGCCAGGACGGTTTAGGGTTTAGGGGTTTAGGGTTTAGGGCTCTTGCAGTAGGCTTCTCTCACAGCCTCAAACCCTGAAACCTAAACTCCTAACTCTTGATCTCAAAGGCTTTGGGGGTACAGCTTGAAGCAACTTCGGGATTTCCGGAACTAGAGTCGTGATTCAAGGCTCTAGTTCAGGGTTCGGGGGATGTCCGCGGTCCTGGGTAGTTCGAACCGCCTCCATAGGCAACCGCTGCTGAACCTTAGCTGATTAAGGCTTCCGTGCTCATGCATCTGCAGGTACGGGCCAACATCAGTTCTGACTGTTCGGCAACTGAGTGATGACTCCTACACGGGATTTTTCTAGCCAGTGCTCAGCATGCATTTACCGAACAGGCATCATCGACCCGTAAACGAAACATGGCACAGTATTTTTTCCCAAAGCACTGTTTTAAGCACGGACTTGGAGTGTACGCTGGCAGCGAAGCTCTAGGGCAGAGCCTTCCTCAGTCACCTAAAGCCCTAAACCCCAAACCTATAAGTGCATGCCAAGCACATCCTTCAGGCAGATGACGAAGTCTGCCAGGGAACGGTTCCGAAGAACGGGGTCCTGCATGCTGCTCGAGGTGGCAGGGAAGCATACATATATACATATATATATATATATATATACATATACATATGTATACAGGTTTAGGTGATATGGAAATAGATGTAGATGTGAATATATGCTTCACAGAGCCGTAGAAGGACTTCAAAAAAAGTTTGGGGGTTTAGTGCTGGGGAGTCTTGAGATTTATGGGTCTGGGGCTTCGTGTTTGGGGCTGAGGGTTTTTAGGGTTTACGCTCTCGCAACTCGGACACAGCCGGGCGAGCTTCTTGGGTGCACTGTCGGTGTGATACGTTGTCAAACGGGATTCTCACTTGTGCCTTTAGGGTTTAGGGTTTACAGGCTTTAAGGTATGGCGCTGTGTGGCAGTGTTTCAAGGCTTCAGAAACAGTAGCCTGACACAACCAACCAGGCTATGGCTTCTAGTTCTGTATATACCGCCTCAAGATGGGCTAGCGTCCCGATGTCAGTCTATAGAAAGGAAGAACCATATTCTCAGAAGCCCATGTCCATTTCGAGGTATAGTTCGAAGGTGTTCGCTGCAAGCACACGCTGCAAATGACTCCGATGCCTTGATCCAGGAGGGTCTGCAGCCCACATGCATGCCCGGACTGCTGCTAGCTTCTAGAATTTAGCTGGCTCGTATTGTGTAGTTGGTATCTTCCGGTCCACCTCTGAAATGTCTGAAACCTGCCGCTCAACATTGCCCTGAAATCGGCCAGCTCTTGCGAAACTTTGTTCAGGGTTTTGGGCCATCCTATGAGACCTGAAAGTTGGAGAGCCCTTGAAGACGGGGGTTTAGCGTTTAGGGTTTTTATGTGTTTAGGGTGTTAAGGTGTACGTAGGGTTTTCGACTTTGGCATTTGGGGTCCTCATCCACGACACGTCGCAGCTTCTTCTCCCGCTCAGCAACACGGTCAAGGTCAAAGCTGAGCTCCAAGTTCCGCTTCCTCTGATCCTCTACACTCTGCAACAAGGCTTTCGGCTGTAGAGTTTGAAACCCGACTCGGCCGAGGCAAAAAAGGATGCATACGCGCGAGTTTATTGAGACATGCTCATGTTGGAGAAGGAAATGAAAAGGTTCTATGTGTACAGCCTTTTCTTAATGCTCTAGAGCCTCTCTCTGTCTCGACGTTTGCTCTGCTCAACGGATGCACAGCGAACATGGACATCATCAGAAGATCGGACATCTGTGCTATTCACATTGACACTAAGAGCACTGCGAACATAGCATGAGGTCGGGCTGGGCTTTATAGGTTCCGGTGCATCGCAAACCCAAGCACATGCAGCTGTCGCACCTCCACCCTCATTCGCAGTGCCGCTATCCTCAGCTTTCAAACAGAGTCACCCTATATCCGTTGAGTGGGAATGGTAACAAGTGCTTGCGTTCAGGAAAAGATCTATACGGGAAGAGGAGCTTCTTGGCAGGACTTAGCTCTTGAATGGCAAGATGCCTTCCAAATGCACTTGCCTCGCCCCAAGAGCAAGCGCCGTGAAAAACCTTTAATATCAAAGTAAACCTAAAAGAGCCTGGAGGAGACAGAAACACACAGATACATAAACGCTCCCCCGCTAAAATCGAAATATAGACCTTTGATCGTCCCCTCGTGATCCTTGTGCGAGGTCTTCCCTAACCCTAAACCATACTCCAAATGTTCAGATAGTGGTGTTAGATCCCCATTATACAACCCTTATAAGACCCTATAAACTATAAACTATGACCCCCCACGCCCCTATACAGCCCTTATGGTAGCCTTTCAGGCCCCGAATAAAATTCCGTTCGTCGCAGCGTCTGCACGGCTGTCGGAACTGCCGCCGTCGCTGCCGAGCCGGGCTCCTTTGCTGGGGGCTCCTCGGCCAATGTCGGGCTTTGTCTTGCGCAGTCTGATGTCTGATTAGCGTCGACTTTCTAGAATTTGCCGCCGAGGCTTCATGGTGTTCAATCAGAGTTTCGTTCAGTTGTGTAAGGGTTGTGGCCGTTTCTCGGGGTTTAGAGGGTTCTATTACATGTTTATAGCGGTTTACAAATATTTGATGATTAGCGGGAAGTTGTGCTGCACAAATATCTGCATAGGAGATGGTAGTACTGTTCCGACCTCTGTAGTGTAGTTCTTGCTTAGGAGCTTTCCAGTCTAGGTCCAAGAATCACTGGAAGGTTTCGGAAAGATGAATGTGTTGGTTTTGGGGCTTACGGCTCTGCTTGACGGACTATGGTGCTTCATCTGTCAGTTCTGTTTGGGGTTCTTCATGTAGGGCCCTGCCTGATCAAGCCCTTGAGGAATAAGGCAAGGCGTTCATTGATCAGGGGTATACATTACCCCACTCTACACCCCAAGCCCGAATCCCTCAGCCACAAATCCTGAAACCTATAAACCCCAGAACTCTGGAACATCCCAAATCCTAAGCCCAACTTCCAAAACTAAGTAACCCACTTGGAGCTCCTAGTAAGCACCTTACTTTAAAGCCACGATCGAAGTTTCCATAAGGCTTCGGGCTTGGCGCTTTCTTGTTTTACATACAGGTTTCCTAAAGGACCCAAGGCCAAGGACCCTGAACCACACATACAACCACAGCGGTAAGCCGCACATCTCGAAATCCGGAAATGTCTCAATCCCGCTTTTCTCAGGAAAAAGTGGACACTGACACTTCGGTGATACGTCAATCCAAAAATTACATTCATTTGGTTCAATCCCTCTTCCCGAACATCCCATCCGCGCAGGACAGGAACTTCGCGATTTCTTACTAAGTTGATGATAAAGCTACCGGACAGAAGTCGTATGTCACCCTAAAACCGGTAATCCTAACCTTCCCCGAAGCTGCCACAGCAAGTGCCCAGCCTGAGACCCAAGGAAACGGCCACAAAGCTCCACCAGGCAATTGCGCCATCCCTCGTGATCGTCTCCACTGCCTTGACTCACTGGCCCAAAACCCAAGGGAATAAAAGTTGAAACTTTCAGAATCGACTGCCTTATGAGAACTCAAAAGTTGAAAAGTTGAGCGTACAGCCAAGAAGTTGAAGACAGGAAGCAGCGTCGGACAGCAGGCATCCCACATACATTTTTCAACCATCCCAGTACCCGTAGGATGCTTGGCACAAGGATCGCCAGAAAGAGCCCCCACATTCACCCCAAAGCATGCAGGTCAAGGGAAGGTCATCATGTACCGCTTAGGGTTCCGGAAAATCGTTCTTCCACAGACTCAGGAACGGCCGGGACACCTACTAGCCAACACCAGGGTGGTTGTCAACATTATGGTCCCTTTTGGGGTTCCTATCATAATACGGCACCTATTACTTCGGGTACCCAGAAAGGGACCTTAATTTGACAACTACCCACCATGCACCTGCCAGATTGACGGATGGCCTCACCATAACCCAAAGTGCAAGTCCGACGACATGACATGCTGACCAGTGGCACGCGGGCAACCTAGTACAACTGACAAGCTTCCCAAACGCTAGCGCGAGCCAAGGGGAAGCCCAGACATCCTGAACACTGAACTGCTAGTCAACTTTAGTATAAACTTTGCACCCCAAAATTTAATGAGATGGTAAGAGCCCTGACGACCAGCACCTATCAGAACGGCCCCGACCCGGTTGTGCCAGAGAAAGCGCCCTGCCCAGATGTTGGGCCTAACCCCGCAAGCAGAAAGGATGTGAAGCGTGCCTCTTGTACCCCAATCCCCGAAACTTCCAACCCTGTGTGGGCATATTCCCAAGCCCGAGTTCTGATTTTCTCATCCCCTACAATTACCATGGATACAGGGTAGCGACCAAGATGACGCCTAAACCCGAACTGGGATGGCGTCCAAGACGCTTGGTGGGAGGATGCCAACCGATTGCAGCCTTCGCTTCAGCGCCGGGACATCCAGAGCCGAAGCCATGGCTTGCAATGAGCTCTTAAAGTTGTTCTTGCAATTAGTTGGGTCGGTCGATGGGTGGGTGGATGGGTGGGTGGGTAGGCATGTCAGCAGGCAGGTGGCAGGTGGGCCGGCGGATAAGTGGGCTTGCTGTTTTTTCCAGCTGACGAAAACCTCAGTCAGGGATTGGGAGGGTTATCAATGCAGGCTAATGCACAGTGTCTCAGGACGTTGCTTTGAGCTCCACTGCAGGCTCTACTTACTGAGTCCTCCGATCCTGGGTACCGCATTCAATCTTGGTCTCAGGTTCATTATGCATGGGACTGCAGATGAGAGCAAACGAACCCAGCATGAACAGAACTGACTGAACAGGAGATCTGTGCAGACAAAGCATTGCATCAAGAAGCCGGACTTGTACAAAGACAGGCACTGAAAGATCGTTTACACAGGAGTGGGACTGCATCAGAGTGGACATATAGTACAAATACCTCGGCATCCGACTCCTGTCTGATAGTTTTCTAGCAGGGTCTAGGTTTGATGGAATTCTTGAAGCATCAGAAACAGGCAATCCTTACAGAGCTTGTCGGGGTTCATGGTTGAGGGTTTTAGAGAATAGGGTTTAGGCGTCAGCCGGCTATCTGTAAAATTTCGCCTGCACGGCTTTAGAGTTTGACAAGTTTTAACAGGTTTCAAGTTCGGAGTTTTGACTGTCCCGGTTGTTAGGGCTTAGCTGCTATATGGTCTCTGGTGCGCAGCAGGAAGACACGGACTGCAGCAGGGGCGTGCCATCCTGAAGTATCTTAGGATCGAAACAGACGTAACGACACAAGACGTTGCTTTAGATGTCGTCAAGCACCCCGCTAGTCACTATCACTAGCAGCGCCGGGACATCTCAGATGACCTTGCACACCCGTGCGCTTGCGATATCCGCCAGGGGATGCAGCTGACGAAACAGAGCTATCGGCCAGAAATTCAGAGCTGCTGCTCTCTCCTCCTTTGCACCGCCCACCGCCCCAGATCACAACCGAACCATCCGCCGAAATGGCTGCAAAAGATGTTTCGGTGGCTTGAATCTGCTGCACGTTCTTCAACTGATCTTGGACTGTGCTGCTGTCTCCACCGCAGTTGCTGTCGCCCCAAGTCACGACAGAACCGTCGGCCAGAATAGCAGCGAAAGCACCGTCCGTTGTTTGGATCTGCTGGACATGTCTGAGCTGAGCCTCTACCTCAGAGATGTCTTTGTCATCGTCAGTATAACCCCAGCTGACAACAGAGCCATCCGCCAGAATGGCCACAAACGCAGATTCCGCGGCTTGGACCTGTTGCACATCCCTCAACTGGTCCCGGACTTCGCTGCTGTCTCCACCGTGATATTCCTCACCCCAGCTCACGACAGAGCCATCGGCTAGAACCGCAGCAAAAGCCGCCCAGGTGGCTTGCATCTGTTGCACATTTTTCAGCAGATGTTGAACACCAGTGCTGTCACCACCTCCACTTGCTTCGCCCCAGGACACGACCGATCCATCCGCCAGAATCGCGGCAAAAGCCGCGGCCGTTGCTTGAATGTGTTGCACACTCTTCAATTGGTGTTGCACCTGCGTGCTGTCTGCACCATTGTCGTCATCACCCCAAGTCACGACAGAGCCATCCTCCAGAATGGCCGCAAACGCAGAACTTGTGGCTTGGATCTGTTGGACGTTCTTCAGCTGATCTTGGACTCTGCTGCTGTCTCCACCGGATTCGTAGTCACCCCAAGTCACAACGGAACCGTCAGCTAAAATGGCAGCGAAAGCACATGCAGTTGCCTGGACCTTTTGGACATTTTTCAATCGAGCCTGCACCTCACTGCTGTCTCCGCCGAATTCGTGATAACCCCAGGATACGAGAGAGCCATCCACGAGAATTGCTGCAAAAGCTGAATGGTTGGCTTGAATCTGCTGCACTTTCTGCAACTGATCTTGGACCTTGCTGCTGTCTCCGCCTCTGCCAGCATCACCCCACGTTACCACAGAACCATCGGCCAGAATGGCAGCGAAAGCAGCTCCAGCGGCTTGAAGCTCCCGTACATTGTTTAGCCCATATTGCACCGCACTGCTGTCTCCACCCCCACCTGCGTCACCCCATGTCTCAACGGAGTGGTCGCTGACAATCGCCGCAAAACTACTATGGGAACTTGCAACCCGCACCTGTCCCAGGTGTAGTGTTAGTGCATCACCGCTCCGGAGCCCGCATTCCTGCACTGTGGCATCTGCCTCCAGCAAGACCCCAGCTTGGTCAAGAAGTCGTCCCTTGCCGACATGCAAAGCCTCTTGCGCTCGCCAGCTCACCTGCTTGATGCATTCGCCTCCTTCTGCATCAACGCACACGCTCCTGCCACTGATCAAGCTGATGGTAATGGAGACATTGCTGGTAGACTTGCTCCCCATGGCTACTTACGGTAGGGATGTTTGAGATTGGGACGCCTGTGTGCCATGGCTGAAACCACCGCCACTGTATGTTCTGTACTTCACCGGGAAACTACTTGATGGTGAAAGAATGCCCGCCTCACTGAACCAGCCCATCAAGGCAGTGACAATGGAACCGGCGTGCAAACTCCTCCTCACTAACAATTGGTGCAAAGATTTGAGAAATCTGGCTTCCATGGCAAGCAAAACGGAAACCCTACGTGCCCGGGGTACCAGCGAAGCGGTTCCTTGCTCGATGAGGACATCGAAAACAAGATGACCTTTCCACATTCCAACCATGACAATCATATGTTTGTCAAGATGGCATCCTGCATGCAGACATACATCTCTTTGCAGACTCGTCATCACTTATGAACTGTGTATGAGTCTAGCGCTACAGCCATTATCCTGTATCTTGAACCAGAAGCGGAAAACAACAACGCACCAGCCCAAAATGTCAAATCTTCTTCTACCTGCCTACCGAAAGCCAAGCTGTCTCTGTCACTTCAACCATGGCCCGGAAAAAAAAAACGTCTATCTAGGCCGAAGACACCTGTGGCCCCAAACTCTACGAAACTGTAAAGGATACATATAGACATAAATAGCAAATAGTTACACGTTCAAGGCATCGGTATGTATATGTGTATACGATATTATATATATATATATATATATATATATATATGTATATACATAGTTATATATTTATATATTCTATTTATGTTTATATACATACACTTCGGGCTGACGCCAGAACCAGCTGCGGCTCTCGCTTCCTTTTTGCATTGCGGCAGGCTGCCCAGGGTCATGTTACCGCGCTTACACGGCTGGCTTCATGTGAACCCTTGACACTTAGGGTTTACGATTTAGGGTCTGTCTTAAAGAATCTCATCAGATAACCCGCGAATGTCTGGCTATGCCGAAAGACTAATGTAGAGGCTATGAACTTGACAAGTACGTTCGCAATGCACGCTTCCATAGGCTCGGCTACTGCACTTAGACTTCCTGTAAAGTATACCTGAACAAACCCCGAGCCCAAATGGAGTCCCAGTACATCATAGTACTAGCTGATCCTTGCGCACCACAGTGGAATAAACTAATGCTGCTACGAGCACTGCCGTTTCTGATATGCAAACAAGTTAAACCATAAAAAGATCCCTCCAGCAATAACCGCAAGCTGAACGTGCAACACACCATGTCTTGCACTACTGAAATCTGGAAGAGGACAGAACCAATACGCAGGTATACTTCTGGGATCTCTCTGCGGGACTAAAGAGGAAGTTCAATTGACATGGCGCGGACGGCTACATTATCCTCTCGAAGATCAGACCTGTCAGTGTCAGCCAGTGTTCGACCGCTCACGCGACTGCCTCAAGAACATCAGGGATCTTTGTAAAAAAGGTCCAGATGCAAAACTTCTTCAAAGGATCGCGAGAAGGCACTGAAAGCCTGACTCCTAGAGATACTCTCGCAAAATGGAGCCGGTCCTGTGACTCTAGTCGTTAAGAGAAAGCCTTTCCCCTGGTTTTCTTGAAACAGTTCCTCCGACACCCTAAGCCCTAAACCCCTGAACCTCTAAACCCCTAAACCCCTAAACCCCTCAACCCTAAACCATAAACCCCTCAACCCTAAACCATAAACCCCTGAACCCTAAACCCCTGAACCCTAAACCCTAAACCCCTCAACCCCTAAACCCCTAACCCCAGGGTGTGCAGAGGAAGGGCCGGCTCGGGTGTTTGGGGCTTCCGGTTTGTCGCCTCTCTCACTGTCTAGAACCCTAAGGGTCCATGTACCCATATAGAGATACATGAGCCCCAAAGTACCTATATAGGGACTACATTGAGGCCAATGTATATACTATATGAGTACATGGACCCTTAGGGGAACCCCGGCTACGTGGATCCTAGAGCGGAATCGGATGGCAATAGATCCATATGGGTAGTTGTCAAAACTATGGTCCCGCTCTTTGGGTCCTTATTATAGTACGGCACCGAATATTTAGGGTACCCAAAAAGAGACCCCAATTTTGACAACCACCCATATCAAAGCCGCAGGTCTGCAAACCTCACATACAAGAATGAGGAACCCTTGGCTGCTTGCAACCCCGCTAATCACGTCTCGGGACATTCTAAACACCCAACTCTGAAGATCTAAGAATTAGATCTCCAAGTACCCCTTCCCTTGTACACTGGCCGCCCCACTGTCCCACGAAAGGTTGAATTCAGGGTGTTAGTGTATAAGGGGCCTTTATAGTCAGAATAGGGTTTCAGGGGCATCTTATATTTACTATACCTATAAGGAACTCCCACGACAGTGTACGGGTCGGCCTCGTTCTGCTTTGACCTTGGGTAGCCGGCAGGATCACGCGCTCCTGGTGTGCGGGCAAATTTGGCGCCCTAAACCCTAAACCCCTGGACCCTAAACCTTAAACACCCAAACCCTAAACCAACAAATTTGGGGCCGGTAGAGCTTAAGATGGCGTATCAGGTTAGGAGACTTGCCTCCAGAAGATACATGTGTAAACATGTACACATACATATGTACATCCAATGCTTGTGTATATATGTATGCACGCATGCATGCATGCATGAGTATATGTAGGTATTTATGCATGTATGTGAGCTTATGAATGCATGTACGAATACATGAACATGCGTACGTACAGGTGCGTACGTACATATGTATGCACAGTATGTGTGTACGTATCTGTGTATGCATGTATAAGCAAGTATGCATGTATCTTCCAACGCATGCATGTATGTATATATTTGTTTATGTGCGTATGAATGTATGTATGTATGTACGTAGGTACTATGTATAGGTATACACACATATGTACATATGTACACACCCACAACATGTATACCTCAGAATACAAGCCTGGGCATGCATATATTGCATTGCATATACATACGTTAGACCTATCGATGCGTACATGTTTACACATATGTATATATATATATATATAGTATATATATATATATATATATATATATATAGTATATATGTATATACATATGTGCACATAGATATAGATATATATGCAGTTTGGAGTCTTATGTTGTAAGGAGGCCCTAAGCCCCCAGCTAAAGCCTGAACCTAAATCCTGAAGCCCCAGAAATGCCAATGTAGAGCCTTCGCGAGTAAATCAAACACGTTTTCGTTTTTTTAGGTAGGGTTTTCGACGCTCACACGCGCACAAGGCAGGCAAGGCTCCACATAGTGTTTAGGGTTTAGGGTCTAGGGGATATTGGGGTGTATATCATGCCGTAATTGATGTTGTTGTGTTTGGGATTATAAGGTGGGTGCTCGCACTAATTTTTCAGGCCCCCTAGTGAAAACCCCAAATCACAAAGTCCAACGGGTCCGAAACTCTAAACAACTGGAAACATCGAACTCCGAAAATCTGGAGCATTTCAACAAAAATTGGGTTCAGGTAAAACGCACAGCTTGGCCCCGGCGCTCCTGGAATGACGGTTGACCTTAGCGACATGTAGTGGCTCTGGGAGCTGTTTGGGCTAACAGGCTTCCGAGTCCTAGTCTCCTCCAAAGATGGATAAAATCACAACCTACAATCGTTATGCCGGGTTTGATGGCGATAATGCAATCTGCTTGAGTTGCCACCAACTATCTCGCTTGCCTGCGCACGCTCCACGCGCGTGCGTGAGGCATCAGGCAGATGCGACTGCTGTTCGGCTGTGCCGCCGTGATTTCCCTTCCCAGTGCCAGTAACACACGGGCTTTGGTGCTGTTACCGTTGATCCAGTCCTTTCCAGAAGCTTCAGTCTCAGTGTCACATTGAACAGTGAAGTTTTCCTTCCCTCAAGCGGACTGCAGTATTCGTAACCCAGAAGGCTTGTGCAGCTTTGGTAGAGGCAGCCTGTTCAGCCAAAACCAACACGAAGCCCAAAACCCCAAATCCTAAAACCCCTAAATCCTCAAAGCTCCAAGATGCCTTAACCCTGTAAGCCTTTTTTGAGGTCTCTCTGAAGTGCCTCCAACTTCAGCGATATTTTCAATCAGGAATACCTTCTTTCGGGCCCTAAAGCCAGAGTCTCTGAAGTTTCTGTAAGCTCCGGAAAGAGGGCCCGAACTATCTGTAACACTCTTCAAACGGATTTTCTCATGTTTGCAAAATGAATTACCAAGAACTTCAAAACCCCAAAGTTTAGGCGTCTCTGTTATTTGGCTCAGAATAAGGTAGCAACTCCGAGGGCATGCGCCTCACTGACATCGAGTGTTGCTTTCGGCTGCGCTCACCCTTTGACCTACAAACTCCGAGGACCTGAGGTTTCGAATATTGCTCTTCAAAGCGATTCCGTCACCCAAAGAGCTTTTTTTCACTGCGGCGAATCTGCTGCAGCATTCTTTGCCAGCAGCTGTCCGTTCTTCGGCATCTTTGGTTCTCTTACGCGGAGCTGAGTCCACAATTCGGCGCCCCGAGGTTCTTCAGCTTCAGGCTTTGGGCTTCTGTTCGATTTTAAAGCTTTATGGCTTCTGTTTGGAGGTAAGGGTTTGCTTAGGACGTCATGGGACTGAGTCAATTAAGTCATCTACATGATGATGAGGGTTATAAGTCGGAGGCTTAACTCTATTTGCTAGATCTGCTTGCTAGGTCCCCTGAGCCACTAAATCACTAGGTTTTGCTCCTGGGTGAAGATGTAGCTCTTCAGAAGGGGAGGCCATGACCTCTTGGAATGGTCCCGCCGTGTCCTGAATAAGAGGGAGAGTTTATAGGGTTTAGGGAGGTATATCACTACCTTCCAACTTTCAAGGCCGGGGCACTGCATTGAAGCTCCTCAACCCCAAACCCGAGAACACAAAACACAACCCAGTGGCCTAGGCATGAAGCTCCAAAGCCCCTAAACAAGCCAAGGCTAACTGCCATCCCTCAGCCCTCAAGCCCGCGGCTTAGGGTTCAGGGTTTAGGAACCCTACGAACCCTACGCCCTAAACCCACCCCATCCCTTTTAAATTACAAGCCCGCAGACCCCCCGAACCCCCAACCTTCTCCCCCCTAAACCCTAAACCCTAAACCCTAACCCCCCCCCCCCCCCCCCGAAACCCAGATCCTCAACAGCACCGGCCCAAAAGCTGCAGAGGCCCCCGCCCCGTTATTATGGTACTTAGACTTAAACCCTTTGGGTCACCCGTTCCCCTTCCCTCTCTCCGGTTTTTGTAATGAAGGGGCCTAAAAAAATAAAAAAAAGTTTTGCAGCAAAGTCTACTATGTCTGGAACACCCAAAAAGCATTGTTAATCTGTTGGGCCACTGTTGGGCTCCTTTCTCATGTAGTTCAAGCGGGCCGCAAACTTTTGCAATTGGGGTTGTTGGACCTATGTACATGACTGAGCGTCTAAGGGCTTATGGCTGAGAGTCTTGGCCGTTAGCACACCGAATACCATGTAAAAAGAACACCTTCAAACATCGATACAACCCTTCAACAACCAGAAAATCGACACTCGAAAAGCCGCATTAAGCCCTCCTTCCGTCAGCCGAGCTAGCTAGTCCAGCTGCCGCCTCAACCCTCTCCCCCATACCCTACGTGCTAGCCAACTCAAACATAGGGATCTTCATGAGTGGCATAGAGATTCGGGGAATACTATGGTCATAAGCATCTTAAGGAACTCTACGAAGTAGCGCCCCACATTAAACAAAACCCAAGTCCTTTCAGGATCTTGTGGTTCGCACTGCAGGGCGGCATGGTGTTGATGGTGTTCCTCGGTTCAGGATTCAGGGGTTTAGGGTTGAGAGCGGTCGACTGTGGGGCCTGTCATCCATAGATTGGCCTTCAAGCCCAGCATCTTACACGTTTCAACGCCCACAGCCCAGAGGGAGCCCTTCTACCACTTAGTGACACTTAGACCCTACAATGCCCTCGCTTGTTTGGTTAGCTTCGTTTCTTAAGTCGGGATCCCAACCATAAAACAACTTATCCACAAGAAAGCGCTATATTCGGAGTCTCAGTAGAGACATTAGCCCCCTGCAGAATCCCTAGGAGACACCGAGACACTTCGCAGCAGACATCCTCTTCGGCTCCTGTCCGCTGACCTTCAGAGGTTTAGGGTTCCTCCTCTCGGTGCGCTCAGACATGATGAAGGGGACTGCTGCAAGTTGCGGGTTCAGACATGTCGGCCAGAAACAGATGTGCAGTAGTAGTTTCAGACCGGCAGTCAAAGTCCTTTTTTGCTTCCTGTTAGAACGTGGAGGCTATGCGTGTTCCGGAAAACCCCAAACCCTCAACTCAACGCCTCAACCCTAGCAGCTTCGATTCTAAACCGGCACGCATCAGCCCCAAAGTGGCCAGCTGCTCTGAAGACCTTCGATATAAGGGTTCTATGAAGGTTCTCTACAGAAGCTGTAAGGATTGCCATGAAGCTTTCTATGAGGGTTGCAACTAAAAGCGTATCTACAAGGGCTACTATTTTAACGGCATGTAAAAATTTATGTTTTCATCAGCGTCAATCATGACGTGAATCCCACCTGCTCATGGAACATAGTGACCACTGGTGGGACTATCAAATACCTCAGACGGCGCGGATGATTGCGCAGATGCTGTTCTCATTTTGCACCCGTGGAGTTTGAGCAAATATAGCTAGTCGGAGTGTAGACTCAGTTTAGAGAGAAGGGACCTTTGTGTACAGAACTCTGAAAATCGGTAGACACACATTACAAGGACCCCCAATATGAACGAGTCCATAATTCGGAAGCACCATTTTGGGAAGATAACAGGCGGGGACACACATGCAAAAGCAACATCAGAAGCGCCAGTGCCAGCCATATGTAGATCAGCTACCATCTGCAACTACGGTATAGTACTGCAAGGCTCTTTGAAGGACTCCATAAAGGATTCTGCAAGGGTTCATGCAGTGTCTAGGGCCTTTATGGGGTTTAGGAGTTTAGGACAAGAGTAGCCGGTCGTGGCACTAGTAAACATGTACTAGAAGCAATAACAAGAGGAGGACCGATCCCCGCCCAAGCCCAAGCTGAAGAGCAGATACAAAGGCTCCACCCATAGGCCCCAAAGTAGTTCAGATTTGGGATTACCTTATAGGATTCTATATACGGACCCCAAAAGGGAGCTACTTTTTGGCCTTAGGGCAATATTTTGGGGATTCAGGTTTTCAAGCTTTGCAGCTTTGATGCGAGGTTTTCGGCTTGGGCAGCCAGCATATCAACTTGCAGCGTAACCATCGGGCCGATCGGGGGTATACCAAGATGAACCCACCCAAGAGGGTGACTTATTCAACTTACTACTGGGAACCTTGAATCGGGGATTATAATACTGAGAAGATACAGTATGGACCACCCAACAACAAGTATCCTATCGGTCCTATCGCCAAGGTAACCGAAAAGCCGGTTCACACAGCCGTAGGCCCGTAGGATGCAAACCACGAAAACGACAATGAACAGAAAGGCGGGGTGCGGATTCGAGATGTCGGCGACACGGCCGAAGTCTCGCGCCCTTCCGCTCAGCAACCCGCGAGGGGCACGCTGAAAGATGTTGTGGTTCGCGACCTCTCAGACCCCCCAATACAGCGTCACTTGCCTGAGCTCACTTTGCTTGGAATTTCGCCGCTTTCTGCAATAGGCAAGAATCACAAATCCGTAAGATCCGGATTCGTTGAAGGGTTCCTTTAAGGGGGGACCTTTCAAGGGAACACCCCCCAAAAGAATGCCCCAGAAAGCTCCGCGGCAGCCTCGTCTTTGTGAGAGTTTGGGAAGGTCGAGAGCGTCCTGTACGCTCCGGGCCCCGGTGTGCGCGCCTCCTCCTTGCACCTCGGCCACTGTGGAGATGTGGAGTTTCAGGGTTTCGAGGTTGAGATTCAGGGCCAAGGGCTTAAGATTGCAATGAGTGCCGCAGAGTTGGGGCCAAAGCTCTGGACATGTCACACTGCAGAGTGTTGAAAAACTTTACTCCGAGTAGCTGATACCTGCTAGCTAAAGGTCCTGTTAGAGTCTCAAGGTCCTGTTAGAGTCTCTACTCCCGCTCTTTCGCCGTTTAGGGTTAAATCCTCTGAACACAAGCTGCTAGACAAAGTCCTGGATAATGTTAATGAAACTAACCCTAGGGCTCCAGTTGCGTAAATGGTATAGAGGTTACTAACCAAATAATAGATAACCAAGTAACCCATTATACAGGCAACTGAAGTCTAACTGGAGCCCTGCGGTAAGGCACGCTAAGAACCCGAGGTTGAAGGATGCAACAATGGTCATGTTCTTTCGGCCCTGTCTTTCGACGGAAACGGTTAACCTTCACAGCTGCTCCCGGCCCCCATGGCTCCAAGTCGAGACCCTCAGCTGCGTTTGCTCAGTTTGGGAACCCGGTGCAAGTGAACCACATCAACGCCCGAAACGAAAGACTACGTTAGCACGCCGTGCCAGCAGAGAGGAGGCGCTGGTTGGAGCGGTGGGTGCCCATTCCATAGAGAGGGTTTGCAGCCGAGAGCATCTCCTGGCTACACGTTTTGAAATCTAAGGTTTGGGGCTGTGAGGCTTTAGGGTTGAGGTAAGGCTTTGAGGCTTTAGGGTATAGGTAAGGCTCTTGACTCTCAGCTATAGGATTAACGGTTTTGGGGATTTCGATTTTTTACGGCTCTGGGGTTTATAAGGTTCAGGGATGTCCAGGGCAAGGGGCTTATTCCGGGATGGAGGCTAACCAAAGATGGCCAGACTTCAGGAAGGGGCGGGCAAGACGTGTTAAAGCTACAACATACCCAACACGCAAGCTTTCAGATTCAGATTTACTGCAATTTCACAGTGTTCCTATGTGGCAGAGTTGGCGGTGGAGAGATGCAGAAGTCAGCCAACTTAAACAAGTCCATGTCTATTCCTTATAGTTCAATCGTCCTGAAGCGCAAACCCCGAAACACTAAGTACCACACGCCCCTCTGACAAAACGAAGCAACAACAACGGTACTCCAAACACTTCAAAATCACAACCCACACACAGAGTCAGGAACACGACCACCGCTCTCTCCTGCACTGGGTCCTCGCTCCGCGCAGCTGCCTCGCAACTATCCGAGGCCCAAAAGATAAGAACAGGGTTCCTGTAAAAGGATTCGTTCAAGGGTTCCTTAGACGGTTCGTTGAAGGGCTCTCCTTCACGAGGGATAAGGGTTTTACTACAAATTAATCTGCCCGACACATCGTGTGACCTAGGGTGAAGGCGCTTGCGTGGGGCTCTTGGCTGGAAATGGTCGGGGTGGCTCCTCCAATTCTGATCTGTTGGTGCTACCGCCAGTCCACGAGTCTTCAGTGTTCCGGGTAAGCCGGAAGCCCGGCTGCTCTCACGAGCGTTCGTGCTTTCGGGCGTTCTTCAGTCTTTATTTCACTGCCGGGCTGCCGCTTCGGATACTACAGGCGGAGTGGTGATTAGAATAAGGGGGTTCGGTTTGCGGTATATGTCATCACGCCGGCGCCATTCTTACATGCATGCTGCATGTCTTCTTGTAAGCTCCTGCATGGCAGACTCCGAAAAGCCATGCGTTGAGGGTTTAGGGCCGTGAGATGTGACGATCTTCCTGCACATCGGAACTCCGATAAACTCCAATGCCGAGCACCAGCGCTCCAGACAAAACACGCCGAAGCACTAGACCCTACACTCTTAAATCGCGTGCTCTACGGCCTCCATGAGTCCTCTGGGCGTGGGCCGCTTCTTAGCCTTGATGGGCGCATAGATGCGCGGCATGGCCTTCGGTGCAAAATGCACCGAGCTATCGCCTACAGCCAAACCCGTCTTGAGCTTGGCAAATGGCTGGCAGCTGCATTTCCGTAAGGGCGCGCCTCCCTTAAAGAGACGCTTCCCCCTGAAGGGGACCTTTGAGGGTTTGGGCCCAGGGCCTTATTCAGTCAGGGCTAAGAGGTCAGAGTTCTGGGCTTCGGGTCTGTGGTTCGTAGCGTTGCTATGGTTTGGGATAACGGCAATCAGACCTAGAAAATGCATGCTCGCGGGGCAACCAACCCAGTACGGCCCTGATACTCTAATAACGGCCCAGGTACCTGACAATCATGTACTCTCGCCAAAGCATCTTACGATTTATTCCGAGCTTCGGCCCTGCAAACATTGCAATGTTGTAATCCTGTGCCGAACTACCGATGTACATGTGCCATTATGTTGTGTCTTGGTTGAACCATACCCCCCCTGAGAACCATAACAACAATAACATGTTTAATATTCTCTTGGGAATTATATGAACAAGCACAAAAAAAAGGAGACTCTAGTTTAACAGGACCGAGGCGATGGCCCAGCGGCGTAGTGCCGTCGAACTCCATGTCGACCCTTAGCAGAGGAAGCCTCGGCTAGGATGTATTTTTGCGCGTCCTTAAAAGGGTTCTATAAGGGTTCTTCCAAAGGGTGCAATAAGGGCTCCTTAAAACGGATCTATAAGTCTATAAGGGTCGTCCCTTTCAGTGGTATTTCTAGGGCTTGAGGGCTTTAGGGGCTCAGGGGTTTGGGGTTTAGGGCTTTGGAGTTCGGCGGTTTGAGGTCTCAGAGTTTCAGGTGCTAGCATGAATCCTCAATACGATTTCAGCACGGGCTTGGATTACTAGACGGACCCCGAAGCAAGGAGCCGAAATGCAAACCCTCAACCCGATCCTTGCTAGAAGGACCAACCAAGATATCCATAACTCGAAGACAGACCCCAGTCTACCAGGAGCGAACTAGACACAAGTGTCGTTCTTGTGTCCCAGCTTGCCAGGTTGAGTGGGGATGAAACGCTCGAAGCACTGGCGCTTTAGGTGTAGATACGGGATTAGGAAAATTGGTACGAATGTCGCCTTATAGTAACATTCTACAGATCCGGAAGAGAATTTACAATAGTGTACGTCGGAGTTCTATCCTCGGTCCTAGTTGCCAGGCCCTTCAACGTTTAGGTTCAGTGGCCTCTTTCTTGCCTCCCTTCCTCTGGGACTTTTGGACAAGACAGGACGCCAGTGCTCCCTTCAGGGCACCATCCGCTCAATCCTAAATGCCCTAGTATAGGGACTCCAAAAAGGGTGTAAGTTTTTTTCTTTAACTCCTTGCTTTAAAGGGTGTAAGGTTTGCGGTTGATTCCTTTAGGTCATGTTGTCCAAATTCCACAGTTCACCATCCCCTGGCAAGCCCTGGGTCGAGATATTGTCAAATAACGTATAAACCCCCATCCTGGCCTGCCAAACAAACGCACATCAGGCTCGCGCCTAAGATCCCACCTTCACTTAATTCTGAACCCCAAACTATCCCAGAACCACTCATGACACCCCAACAGCCGGGTTGAAAGTTGAAAGGACCCTAAACCTTAAAGTCTAATTAAACCCTTTTGCACAGACTTATAGATGCCCGCCTGGATGTCGGATGTCAGAGCCGCTGCACTACCCTCTGAAGTAACGGAATCAAGGAGGAGCCTGCCGAACCTGGAAGCCGTGTGAGAATCAACGCCTGTGGAAAACAGAAATGAAGCCGAACTTGTGATAGATGTGATCATGCAAGCGGCCCAGAATATCGCTCAAACCCGAAACCCTAAATGGCCCTAAACTCTCTGCCCCAAACCCTTTCAGCTAAGGGCTGAGGCCAGGGGACGATGCAGGACAAGCGGGCGTAGGAGACTCCAGGCTGTCTGCAGAGGGCCTCAGTATGGTTTTGTTTCGTGTTGTTTGTTTGGGTCTTCATCCTCTTGTTGTGTGTCATTTGTTTTTGTTTTGTGCGCGGTCTTGTGTTTTATGCTTGTTGTTGTTTCTTGCTTTTGTTTGCTGCTGGCTGCTGGCTCTCTTCGTCAGAAGTTTTCGGTCTCCTGGGTCTTCGAATTAGGCATTGTTGTTTGAAAGTTTTTCCTCAGGAGGTTCACGTCTCAGGCCAATCCCTCCTCTTTCGCACGATTCTTTTTCACTCAAAATGGGAGGGTTTCCGACTTCGCAGATGGCTGGGGCGGAAGGGGGGATTCAAATAGGACGACCCCAGAAAGGGGCAATCATCGAAGACATACTCGACACAGCAATAGCAATCTCAGGTAAACGTACATACATACATACATACATACATACATACATACACACACACATATATATATATATATATATATGTATGCATATAGATGTACCTCAAAGCCTAGGTAAAGCCTTTCCAAGTCCCTATAGAAACCCACCGCCAAGCCCGACAGTCTGCTTGGTTATTCAAAGGAATTAGTTACCCAGGCACTCTGCTAGAAACAAGCAGAAATCTTGGCTGAGCTCGCCTTTCGTAACTCCTGGATAATTAATTACGCACCCTTGATGCTCAAGGAGCCCAATACCAGATGACGGAACAGGACAGCTGACGCACGCCAGGCTGCACAAACCCCAAACCCTAAACCTGATAGGGTTTGGGGTCTAGGGTTTGTACAGGCAGTCTTGCGCAGTTCAACCTGTGGGATGATCCAGCACCCCAGCCACCACCCAAACCGCTATAATCTTATGATGCTATGGACCTCTAAGGGCTCCTCTACTCTAGTTTTGGGCTCAGGATTCTCTGAACCCAACCTGAGCCCCAAACTAAGAACCGCACCTCGGAATCCTCTTCCCTAAATCCTGAAGCCAGGGAGCAGCATGCAGGTAACCTGCTGGCCCACGTTCTGGCTGTACCTCTGGGAGTTTAAGTTTCGCTGTCGCTCTCGGACAAGCCAGACGAGGTCTCTCAATACGACTGCGCACTACATGAGTGGGAGTTTATTTGAGGGTGTATAGGGTTTCCAGTTGCTGCTGTCAGCGTCTGACATACATAATTCCGAGAGCTTGTTTTGTTGATGCCGGCAGTGCGTCCTTCTATTTCAGCCACTACGATAGACCATAAAGTTTATCTGCTCCTACTGTGCCTTCTACATGTTTCTGCCATGCAAACTCCTTGGAGTAACCAAGGAGTGCTCTCGCTCTAATCCTTGACAGAGTTGCCACTGTTGCTCTTTTTGTAAGTAACATGAAAAGTGTGACCTTCTCATACACCGGCACTATTGGTACTCCTGCAATTTCGCATTGAACTGGGCTAGAGTGAGGATAACGCCAAATATGGCACATACAACCACGAAAGAACATCGACTTCCAAAGTCCCTGGTCTATTGAGCAACACAAGGGCCTGAATAATCAAAGTACATTTCCCTCTCAGTCACTGCATAGTTGGAGTATGACATGCCATTGTAACCCAAAAAATCCCTGTTCTGTTTGAGTGCTTCTTAGCATCAGTCGAGGCTCCATTGATAGATGGCGAAGCCCACGAGCACGACAACCAAGCCGATGAATGTGTAAGATGCGTTGCGGGTTAGCGGCTCCTGCTGCAGGCTGGGGTTCAAGGCTTCGGGTAGTTCAGGCTCGGGGTCTTAATGTAGGGACCTGATTAAGAAACCTTAGGCCTTAACTAGGATGCTTATTACGGATTCCACTATTTTGGGGACTCTAAGGCCAGGGTTTCAGGTTCCTACATTAGTGCTCTAAGGTGTTAATTTTGTTTGTTTTTGAAGCCTCCTTTCTCTCCGGTGGATGTCCAGAGTCAACGGTTTATAGGGCTCGGGGGGTAGCAGCACCTGCGTGCATCTGTCACGTAAGGCCCCTTGTGGTTTGCTTTGTACTTGGGGAGATGTTGCGCAGCGTGGACATGCATATAGGCGTAGAAAAAGAAACAACATAATTACATATACACACATATAGATGTATAGGTATGTCTGTGTCTGTATGTACGTACATAGGTAGGTAGGTAGGTAGGTAGGTAGGTAGGTAGGCAGGTAGCTGGCTAGCTATAGCTTGGTAGCTATAGATATGTAGGTAGGTATGTATGTAGGTAGGAAGGTAGGTAGGTATGTACGTATGCATGTATGTGCATTGAAAAAAGTTGTATGAATGTGTGTTTATATACCTAGCCATAAGTGGTATGGGCAAATTATGGCACATATCCTTACCGCTCAGACTTCTACATGATGCAACTCTCGCTCTTCATCCCGGAACAACCTCTGCAGCGGCTCCAACCCAGTAGTCCAAACTCTTCTGAGGGTTAAGGTCAAGACTCGGTCCCTGTCTCTTCACAGATCTACCCTACGCCCTATTTTGAACTAGCGAGCCCTACATCCTGAACCCCCAAACTCTACATTCTAAACCTTAAACCCTAAGCCCGATTTCAGCCTTGAACCCTGAGCCTGGTAGGATCCCAAGAGAGGTGTGAAGAAGAGGATGGTCGTGAAGGGCAGGAGGATGGAGTAACTCAAGGCCTTGCGTCACATTTGACATGGGGGTGGCGGCTTAGCGGGTTCAGATTCCCAGGATTTAGGACTTTGGGGGGGGGGGGGGGGGGGGGGGGGGGGGGATCGGAATCTTGGCGTTTAGGGCGTCTTTTGATCTTCTCGTGGAATGGGGGATGTAAGTGCATGGTCTTTTGAGTGGGGTTTTCACCTCGACTAACACAATCTACTTGTTGTGGGGAGCCTTTGATGGTTTTATTGTATTGGGAGCAACCCCAGGCCCCTACTCGGAAATATGCGAGTATGAAAGAGTATGTGTGTGCAAACTCTTGAGGATAACAACATATCACGCATTGGCAATGATATTAACATATTACGGTCCTTTGTTGCCAACATGTGACATCTAATGGAGAAACATTACCTGACCTAAACCCTACACACTTTAGACTCAGACCGTAAACCCATAAACCGCCAAATAAAGCCCTTAAGCTTTTAATTTAACCCTATGAGCCCTAAACATGATACCCACAAAGAAGAGCAGCTCCTCATGCCATCAGGCCCCATGAGACTACTCGTGTGCCTGGCGTAGCATGCAAGGCTCAGAAAGGAGTCTCAAAGTAATATGGGGGGGGGCCTCACCAACGTTTTTTCTGTTTTTTATTTGGGGTATGCTACACTTTCACCAACGTTTTTTCTGTTTTTTATTTGGGGTATGCTACACTTATACTGTAACAGAACCCCATGGAACCCCCGAAATAGTATTCGCAACTCCCTAGAGTAGTGGGCTTGAAGGCTTGAAGAGCTTCGAAGCCCCAGGCGCTAGGCCGCTAGTCTTTCGGCCGAAATCAGAGTAGTTCGTCGTGTTGCTCCCTCGGGTTCCCTGATGTAATGTAGTTCGTACTGCGATATGGACCCTAGGCCGGTTGTAACTCTTCTTCCCCTTAACATCTTATAGAAAGCTCTAGCAGATTGAAGCCGAAGTAAGAAGGACTCTACAAACCCTCAAAGCACCGAAAACTTTAATGTTGAAACCCTTCCCCTTATTTGGCCCTCCAAACTTCAAAACCTGTTGCCCTTTGCAGCACCCTGCAAAACCCTCGCAGATGTAACCTCAAGTAAAAAAAAACAAGACTGTGTACGCCCCTATGAAGCGCTGCAAGACCCAACATTAAACCCAGTGCTAACCTCATGTTCTGAGGCATAGGCGTTAAGCACGGCACTTCCATGCTTCGTCAGGTAGAGGCCGAGGGTGTTGAAGCCTCGTCGTGTAGATTTTCCTACGGTTTCACAAGGGCTTCAGATTGTCCATGTGGCCGGGGTTTATACGGGCGTCAAATTTCCACTAGGGGCCTTGATAGTGATAACAGTGTTGGCGTTTACTGTGGCATGTTTATGTAGGAATGTAGGGACTACAACGGAGCATTACGCACTCCTGGTTTAGATGATCTTAAATCGCAGTCGAAGATTGGTGAGTCTCCTGTGGCCCATGGGAGGTATGTCTGTTTGCAAGGAGCCAAAGGACCTCGCCTTCATGATCAGGTTTCCTTATGGTTCGATTTAAAGCTCTAGTGAGGCTCTACGTTCGGATCCCGATGTAGCACAATGAAGTATGATCAAGGCCCCGACAAAGAGAGGCTTACGCCAACATCGGGGCCTTGACAATCAAAGACCACGAACCCCGAACCATGTACATCCCAGAGATACCAGGACGACCACGACCACTTCGACAACCACCACAACCACAAGTACCACCACGAAGCGAAGGACCAATACGACGCCCAAGACGAGCAGGACGACGAGGACCGCCACGAAATTCACGACGTGAAGTGTCATTGGCATGAAACTCAGCGTCTTGACTTCAACATCACCCGAAAGCCAAAGCTTTGTGCCAACAAAGCAAGATTCCGCAGCACACACATCCCGAACCCATATGAAGCCAGTGCTGCAAACTTCAGCCACCAGCACCAAAACCCATTGCATCAGTCAAACCCCAAACTGACGACGCAGGTCACCCGGTAGATAGTTTATCTGTCCATGCGGGTGGAAGCTACCAGAGCTTCGGGTTGCTGCAGTAGCGACACTCTAATATTACACAAGAGCATTGGCAACAAAAACCGGGCACCAGGGATGTCTTATTAAAACTGCAAGTCGCCTAGTATTCAAGTCCTTGTAACCATGTCCATCCGGCTTCTTGCGCTGATCGTTTTGACTGCATGTCTACCCGTCCGCTCTGCCGGGGACCGAGCAGACGTTCACACCACAGTAGCCTGGAGGGACGGGACGCGCTTCGCCCCGCAGGGCTTTCACAAGTGGGTGGTCGTCAATATTCGGGCCCCTTTTTGGGTCCTTATTGTAATACGGCACCTGATATTTAGGGTACCCAAAAAGGGACCATAATTTTGACAACCACCCAAGTATTGCTTGGAATGTGCTTGCATGCCTTCGAACACGAGACTGGTGAGTTCCCAGATGGGGGTTTCCGAAAATGAGGGCTACCAAGCCCTTATAATAAGGAACCTACTATTTTGGGTACTATATTAGGGTTCCCTATTTTCGGAAACCCCCGCGATGTAGCATAGGTTAGCGTTTCGGAGTTTCCTCTATGATGTAGATACTTTTTTGGGAGACTTTATTGCTTTCGCCAGATGGTCATCACGATAAGACTTGGTCCACCAACACGGACCTATATCAGATACTTTATAGGGAGTTCTTGTCCCTATAACAGCCGTATAGAGTGTCAAGCAAGGTGCAGCAACTTAAACCGCAAACCTTGAGGCCTAAGTGCCGAAGCCTCAACCCCAGTCCAATAAACAATGCTTTTGTTTGAAGGGTCGCGCCGAAAAGGTGCGAACGAGCCCACTTCTGGGTTCTCGCATTGCATGGATTCGAAGACTGACCGAGGCGCTGAGTTTGAAGCTCAGAGTTCTGAGCCTACACCTGAAGGACCAGATGACCCTTAAAAGTAGGCAGATATACCCATATACTATGAACCCCTATATGGCAAATGAATCTTAAACCCTTTTAGGGTTCATTTCGTCCTTAAGGCAGTGCTCTGACAAAGGTTTGGGTTCAGGTATCAACAGAACCGCAGCCTCCGAACAGTTTGCCCCTTGGGCTAGCTCCGTGCATTGGTGCAACTCAGCCAGCTCAACTAGTAGACCTGTGGGGCATTGGGTTGCTAAGGATCTATAGCGGTTGCAGGATCTGTGGTTCTAGGTGCGGGGCTGTACGTTTCGGGATTGAGAATCCGGGGGTCTCGGCATTCACAAAATCACGGCCCCATACAGAGATAGTATTCGATAAAGAATCTTGTCCACAAGTTGTGCATGGTGCTTGACGTTCTCAGTCAGAAGACGGGCACGGGCACAGGGAAAGAAATGCGGTAAACACAAGAAGCACGGCCACTGTCACTCTGCATGTCCCTTCCGAATGCGAACTAGGCGATAGCGGATAGAGAGCCCTTCTACCCAGATGTCCTGACGTCCTTTCGTGATGAATTGGGTCTTACGACAACTTACCACAGGAGTCTCATAGTTGAGCTATCAGCTCGTTGCGCTGATTCGGATGCACCAGCTTGTTGAAATGCACCACCGAGAAACAGCAGCAAAGCTCCGATAGAACTCTGCGCACAAGCATCCACCCACAATCGCTGGCCACCGCTGAAGGTCTTGATATTGAAGTGAGAATTTCTGGCGTCCGGGGTGTCGATCTGCTGATCCTGATCGTAGTGACGATGGTGGTATAAAATCTAACGGGCCAAACACTGCCTCCACCCCTCATCAAAAAGCACACGTGTAATGGCAGGCTGCTTCTAGTTCGGGTTTGGGGGATTTGGGAGTTAGGCGCATACGAGGGCTTCTGCCAGAATCCCCCCACTCTAAACCCTACAACCTGAAGCAAAGCCCTTAAACCCTGAATCGGCCGCACCAGGTTCTGCAGGCTTATCGGAGCTTTCCTGATGAGGCGATCAGGTCTGCTTGAGGCCATCGAAACAGTCTCAGCTTCATCTGAAATCTGCATCCCTGCTTAAAAGCTGTAGGGTTTCAGGATCTGAGAATTGGTTTGGGGTGTGTTGTACTATATTAACAGGCTATAAGGAGGAAATTCATCGGAGGAGCGGGATCAATTCTTCAGGCTTCTGTGTACTAATCCTACATAAGCTACTAGTCATAACCCGACTTAAGCCCGGGGACGCCCATCAAGGCTTTGACATAGCATAGGGCTTGATATAGAGGCCGGAGAAGTGGTAATCATATCCCCTTATACTTAAGCCCTTCATGATTCTACTATCCTAACGGACCCGTAAAACCCCATTCTATTTCTCTAAGGCCTATAGAGCTCCAAGACACGAAGCCAGGAGGAGCCTGAATCAAGGTTTGCACTGCCCAGAGGGTCCTACGTGCCTACATGGGGGATGCTTACGCAAACTGCGATAATGATTCGTATACTATACCCAAAGGCCCCAAGGTTGCTCCTTTTTGGGGTTCATATGAAATTAGAATCCTATCAGGAAATCCCAAAAAGGAACTACTTTGGGGCCTATGGGTAGAAGCCCAAATTTCTACTGCAGGGTTTCTCAGAGGAGCGATAGGCTAAGACTCAGCATGACGTACACGCACCCTGAGGCACGTGGCCCTCAAGCCTAAACTCTGAAGGCCTAAACCTGAAGGAGATCTTACTTCTTGACTCTCTACTTATATGCCTTCGAAGAAGAAATCTTACGAGTAAGAAGATGATAACACAACTCGATAGCCTGAAGGCCCTCAAGCAGGCCCCATCGCTGTTCTGAAGCTCATTTATGGGCAGGACCGAGCTCGCTGAGGAGATCCTGGCAAACAAAAACTCCAAAACCCGTCAATTAAGGAATATACCTTAAGTCTCATTGGGGATCCTGTCTCAGTCCTATTCCTTTTTTTAATGGGTTCTTCCAGCTGACAGACAACATCAAGAAAAGGCAGACAGTACCAAGAAAGACTCGACAGTTCGTTGAAGATCTAAAAAAGGTTTGCCGCTAGGCTGTGGTTTCTCAATATTTGGATATGATGTTTTCATATTAGGAGGGTTACCTGCCTTATCATGGGCCTGTATGATCAGGAATTCTGCATCAGTGCCGTTTCATGCAAGTGAGGCGCTGCAAATTATTGCTACGAGCCTCAGAGAGCTAGTACATCTCAATGGGCTCCTCATGGGACCTGTGCCTCTAAGCAGCAGCGTTTGGCTACAGGCGACCATTATAAAGACAGGAAGGCGAACTCCATCTAACCCCAGCGTGAAGCGAACTCGTCCGTTTCGGATGACATCAGCTTATCCCTTAACCCCAAACTCCGCCTATGCAATCTGAGCTACCAGCATCTTGTCCTGCTTTTGTTGAAGTACGCACGGAATATTTAAAAAAGGAAACGATGGGAACGGAATGTAGAACTTCAAACCCCAAGACGGTGGCGACATGAACACCCCAAATGAGGAACCCTAATTCGAAACCCCAAATTCTAAACAAACGGATAGATCCCCAAACAAGTTTTTTCCCAACTTCTGCCTGCCGAAGCTCGCACCCTGACCAGCAAGCACCAAAAACGCTTAATATAGGGGCCGTGCTACTTAGACCAGGATGTGGTGTATATTCTCGTTTATAAGGGACTACGATGACTGAACCTTCCGACTCCAAGAAAGTGCAGTACTACCTCGCAAGAAGACCCAACAAAAATCACCAGTCCAACTTTAAGTCTAAAACCAGATGCTTGGTACTTTGGCACCGAAAGAAAGCGTGCCAGCGGAAAGCAAACCCTGAAACCCCCTAACCCGTAAAAGTCTTGAAGCACTAAACCCTAACACCCTGAACTCTAAAAAAGTGTCCTGGATCCATGTCGAGAAGGCTATACGTTCCAAAGTCGCCCAGAGCACCTGCGGGATTACGATTGTTTCAGGGTTTAGGCTCCTTGAAGGGTTCTTTTTAGACTAGGGGTTCAAGGGTTCGTTCAGGGGTTCGTTAGGGTTTAGGGATGGGGTGGAAGGGTCCTGGGTTCAGGTGTTTAGGGTTTCGAGGGGTAGGGGTTGAATACAGCAGATTCATTGAGCTGGACAAGGGTCTATTCGGATCCTTGCCGTAGTAATCTAGATTGGCTTTTTGGCGGAGTGAAGGATCTTCAAAAAGGTGTCGATGTTCAAGATGACACCGAAACTTGCCTAGTTGGGGCCTTGGGGCTAGGGCTCTATATTGAACAAGGAGTGGACAATCAAAACAAATCACCAATCTGTACAGAAAGCCGTTATAGTAACCCTTACAGACCCCTTTTCCGTAGAACCCACTGAGAGGAACCATAGGCCCCATTCTCACGAAGGCCTTGCCTGTACGTACTTGGTTGGATGCTTGCACATCTGAACCATCAACCCGTTGGTTCCTAACACGGGCCTCTCTGTGGGCAGATCTCTAAATTAGGGTCCCGGTTAGAGTCCTTGTTATAAGGGTGCAGGAGTAGTTTGGGGGCCTAAGAAGGGACCCTAATCTGCGGAACTATCCATGTGAGAGTTTCAGAAAAGGGGGCGAAAATCTCGCAGGGTCCTACTGTAACCCGTCTCGGGCGCTACAAGGTTTACATGCATTTTGATAGATTTCATGAGTTTCACTACAGAGCTGTACAGTGGTTTTATAGGTCTTATAGCTTGGTATGAGGGTTCAGTACTTTCTACATGGGACTCGCTGACTTAGTCCAGACTGACAAGAAAGAAGCTGCGCCGTGCGAGAGTGCTGATTACGACTCGCGGTTCCGAGGCTCAGTTGCATGAGCAAAGTGAGAGGTTCCGAAAATGGGGAACCCTGTTTTGGATGCATAAGATAAATAAAAACCCTATAAAACACTGTAAAAATGGGGCCCCCAGGGCGTTCCACACTCCAGAAAGCCCTAAAGAGTAGGGTCCTATACGTTATTACTTAAGGACCCCAATTTTCAGGTGCCCCTAATTTTTCGGAAACTCCCAAGTCTAGGGAAACTGAGGGATGCTATGAAGGACCCGAAACAGCTAAGATCCTCCTCGAAAGAGCCCCGAAATACGCGAGACCAATGGTCTGCCATTAGCCCCCCCAAAACTGTAGAACTTGTTCGCAGAGTTCTTTAAAGTCTTGCAAAGTTGGCGAAGTTCATCACGGAACTGTTCCGGACTCCCAAGGCGAACCAGTCTGTTCTTTAAGCTGAGTTGCTGCAAGATGACCCAGAACAGATCCACAAAGTTTCAGGCTTCTGGCGCTTTCCCCTTAAACCCTAAGCCCTAAACCCTTAAACCCTCATGCTACTCTAAGGTGAAAGGCAGGGCCCTTAACGCTTGACTTGGCTGTTGCCACCAAGGCTCCCAGAATCATCTTTTCCAAGACCAAGCTAATCCTGAGAAAGCAGGGTTGCGGATCTGCGACAGAAGCCTAGACAAACACCAATGCTATTCCGTGGGGCTCCTTATTGTAGCTAGACTCTAATGTCTCCAAAAACCTATTCCATTTCTGAAGATTGCTAGGTTAAGGCCGCAGCCTCTATTGGTCTTTCTCCTGCCACTGTTTGGCTTTTGCTCTCTTACAGTCTACGCTTGGTGAACGACATCTCCCAATTGCTGGACTGAGCGGCGCATGTTAGCAAAACGGCGGCTGGAATAGCGACTGCACAATCCATGCTGCTTGACAATCGGAAGCTCGAACCTGCTTCACCAATCTGCGTTCGAGCAGCACACCCCACTCGTCCAAGACGACAGTCATCCGATTTGGGTAGAACAGCGCAGTGCAACACATAGCCAACTGGGCGGAGGAAGGTCGTCCATGCCCAGTGCGGCTTGGTTGTTTCGTTTGCCACTTGCAGGGTCAAGGGCTTAGGGCCCAGCTGGACGAAGCGGCTAGTGAGAACCCTAAACCCTCAATCCTAAAACCCTCTCTTCTTTCACGCAGCCAATGGTGCAGAGCAATAAAACCGCCGGTGATACAACAAGGAAAAAATGTCCTAAACGACTGCTTGTCGAAGAGTAAACGGAAGGTGTTACTGATCAGCTCATGCACATGTATGCAAGAATATGTGTTCATGTGTCTATATGTATGTATGTACGCATGTATATATGTATGTATGTATATATATATATATATATATATATAGATTATGTATGTGTTTATGTACAAAAGACTCTTCCTTGCGGGGGAGGTGTATGCATGTATGTAGGAAGGTACGCATGTATATAGATCCATATATGCCGTGTGCACACACGCACTGAGCAAGCGGTCATGCTGAAACTATATGTAGTGTTGCCGAGGCTTCCGGTGAGCCCGAATCGAATAACAGTAAGTATTCCGGATGATATGGCTGGCCCTGTACCAAAGCGGACCAATATCTTCCACCCTTGACTGTGCATGCCACGATGATGATTGCACGCAGCCTGAGAGGCCTTTCTCCCATGGCAGTGCATACCCGAGCAATAACAACTACGTCGAGTTTATTCGGTTGCACATTTAGGGTGAGTTAGTGGTCCCAACATGTCGCAACACAACCTTTTTTCCCTCGGCCTTTCCGACCACATTCCTTGTCGGCATAAACACTGTCCTAAATCTGCAACCCTAACATCTGGAAAGGTCTGTGCTTCACGCGCCAAGTAAGCAAAGCGACCCCAGCACCAATCCAGAGATGGAAGAGAGGCAGTTGCGCCTGCTTCCAACCTCAGATTCAGGTTTGGGGATTATGCGGGCTACCCAAGGGTCAGGATTTGGCTTCGACGCGGCTGGCGGAAAGAGTTTAGCAAACAGTAGCGATGCAAGCTTAGGCGCTTAGGATTTCTTTGTTCTCGGTTGGTTCCGCCTGAGCCCCTACACTCTCATACAACCTAGTCTCAGTGTGCAGAATCTCGGCTCACATCAAACCTGACATCAACTAAAGTGTTCCGCTGTGCCAACGGGCTTCGAACGGAAACCCCTTCGGACAAGTTGTCACAAGACCTCATTGTAAAGAAAGCTATTATATAAGCCCCAGGGCCAGTACTCAACGGAATCAGGATCTCAGGCTTACAAAAGCCTTGAATCCAACATTACATGGTACCATCAAACAGGGGCATATGCTCACAAACAATGGGCACTTAGGGTTTAACAGAGCGATAGATGGAGGGTCAGGTAAACGCCTGCGACCTCGTGACGGGCCCGCTTGGCGCGGCCAGCAGGTACTCCTACGTCAGGCTCGGCTTTTTGGATTCTGTTCTTCCAAGGTTGGGTAAGATTGGCCTCTGAAGCAATGGGAGAGACAGGACTTCTGCCATCTTCTGACATAGGAACTTCTGTAAACATGTACCTAAATCGATCTGTCTATATTTTGCTATGCGCAAATAAAGCTTTCCTGTTGGGGGTTGCTTTCGAGTCTTGCTGGGTTTAGGAGATAGATGTGATAAGCTGTGGGGTTCGAAGGGTAGGCCTAAGGGTTGCTTTGAAGGCTTTCAGCATTACGGTTCAGGGCTGGGAATAGCATGGGTTCCATAGGGCTTGACAGAGGCAGTATACCAGTCCATCCCGGAGACGTACGATGGAGGTTTACAGGTATTGAGTTCGAATGTTGAGGAATCTCCAGCGAAAGGCTTCAGTTTTCGGATTTCTTTTTGGGCTTATCTGTTTAGGGTGTTCTTTGGGCTCCTGTTTCGGAAGGAACTACTACACATGTCATTCTAGTGCATCATGTGGGCACTCCTAAAGAAAGGTCAGTGAAAGCCGCAAGACCCGAGGCCCTAGGGCCCCAAACCTTGCACTCCTAGGAGAGGGCTAGTGGGCTTCGCACGACTGGGCAAACTCGCAAAAACCGAGCCGATGAGTTCAGAGTGTTGGGTTTTGCTTTGGAGCCTTTTTTTTTGCGTTGGAGCCTTAGGGCTTTGGGTTTTGGGTGTCTACGGCGTAGGGCTTCAGGATTCATGGATTGCGGGCCTTCGCTTGCTTTGTGCAGGTTTCCTCGCCTTGTTCGTTGTTCCTTGTGGGAGGCTTGGGGCAGATTCGACGTCTGATCCGAAAAACTTAAAAGCCTTGATCTTGAGATCAGTAGGGACCTTAATATTTAGAATAGGGTTCCTTTAAAGGGGTCAGAATGGCTGCTATAAGGGATCTATAGTAGGGTTCTATAACATCTGGTCCTTAATAGTTAGAATCGGGTTTTGGTGTATATTATGCTACAACAATAATCAGGAACCCTAGGCAGAATACTGGCAACTATTTAGGCCCCTGTAGTACCTACCACGCTTACAAACAAAACGATTCTGTGTGCTCCTGGCGGTATGAAACAAATCTCATTCCCTCAAACCTCAACCTAGAAGCCTAGCCCCTATAGCTAGAGCCCTAAGATGTTGGAAATTCAACTCGAGTCACTCCCCGTCAGGTTATATTGGCCGAGCCACTTGTTGCTTTGAGGTATGCTGCCTCGCAAAGCAGCAGCACAAATGGGAAAGTTACAGAACGAAACGAAACGGTCAGCGGATGTGAGCGGCTGTCTAAATAAACGTCCCTGCTTGGATCACCAGACGAGTGTTCCACTCTTGTAGCAAGGATCCGAGTTATCAATGTGTGTGAAACGAACTTCTTGGAGTTACTAGCTGGTTTCCCTTGGAGGGTACACCTCAGGAAACGAGAGGTCATTACAAGACCTTCGGACATGAACCTATAGACTCATCCAGACAGACATGCTGTCCAAATTCTTGATTGCTTTCCTAGATCCCTGGACCCCATTCTCGACAGGAAGACTCTGAATCCTACCTAGACTGATTGATTCCTAAGCACAACATGCCAAAGACTAAAGCCAAAGGAAGCACATACCTTTGGCGGGTTGGGGATGGCGTCTACTTTCGGTGTTCAACGCAGGGGCTTGGGTGATTACCACTGGGTTTGTGGGTATGGAACAGAGTAGTGTTCTGTGATCTAGTCTAGTCTATGGGGGGCACGCTTTATTTACGAACCAGTCAAACCTCTAGACACTCTAGATCAGGGCACTGGGGCTTACTGCAGGGTGGAGGATCAGAGCAGTGGTCAGCGTGTCATGTTAGAACCTGATGAAGGCGTCACACGGTTTTTTGGGAAATCATATTCAGTCACTGAAACTGACTTTTGAGGGTAATAGACACTCATCCCTCCTAATCAAAAGCACCTAACACATGTGTAACGCAATGCTTCCATGGATGTTGTGTTTATGTCTCTTTGCGGGGGCTTGTTTGCAATCCCCGGAGCGTAACAACCTCTCTCCATGCCGTCTGGTTTAAAATCACTTGCGTTAACATACTACCACTAGTATACAGACAGTCTGTCATACACTTGGTCCAATGAGAGGGGCGGGAGGTAGGCAGGCACATCCGATCCCCCAAATTTCTAGAGGAACTCTTGAAGCCAAAAGCCCCATGTCACCCTCAACCATACCTGTGGCCCAAGAACAGTACCTTGAAGGAATGTGGAACCATGAACTCATATTCAGGACTGAAAAGCTACAGTAGCAGGGCCCTTTTAGCCCGAAAACAGCCAAGCAGACCGCAAAACTCTGAGGTTCCTAACATAGGGGCCTTAATAGTCAGAATAGGGTTTGTGGATTATACTATATCTAATACAGGACCACCCCCAAAAAAGGAAAGATAGTAATAATTTAGTATTGGTATTTATTATGGCCCCTGTTTTACCCCAATCCGAAACGGCTCTGATGCCATTCGCCACCTCGGGGGCTACGATGGCCACCTCTGCGAAACCCACCCAGGCTCGAGTGCGTGCCTCGTTGGAAGGGGTCAACTGCTATAGTTTGGGCAGGTCTTCACGTGTTTTTTGCACACATTTACTATACTATACTTACATTTAGGAACCCAAAGGAATAGCATGGTTACATGCTTGGGGCGTTATCCTGCCATTACTGGCGCCTTGCAGCATAGTTTCTGCCCTTAATTCGTGAACAAAAATTTGATATTTCTTGTCTTGAAGCAGACAAGGCGGTCATTTGCCGGGTATTGTCTTGCAAACTACGTAAGGCATGCTTTTGGGCGATTTTGATGGCCGGGAGACTGAGGTGTAGTCCTAGGTCCATAGACTGCTGTGCAGGCTCCTGCGTGGAACCAGGTTGCAAAGCCAAGATGCCACCAACGAGTGCGGATCCCCAAAAGATTTAAGAGCCGATGGGAAAATTGTAGCTGTGGTTAATGGCCCAAGTAAACAACCCCCTTGTAGGGAAAACGGCTGCAGGGTGTGAGCTTGGGGCTTTTGGGGTTTTAGGGGGTTACTAGGTGCACAATGTCGTTGCCCAGGGTCTGTGGTAGACCCCAGGGTGAAAGATCTGCGCTGTCTCTGAACACAGGGCCACGAAAAGTACAGAAGCTTTTGGAGAACATGTCTGTTCGGCCCCCAATGCTTTTGCAAGCTGATGCTTTCAGGAGTCAGGTAATTATTTTCGGGATCAGGCTCATGAAGTTCGTTGGAGGCTCATGAAGTTCGTTACTTGCGTTCTGCTCGTAAAGGCTTGAGATCAGACGGAACAGGGAAAGGAATTTTCAAGCCCCCATATCGGCTGCGACACCTTGAAGCATCCCAAACCACAGACCCAAGATTTTGCATCAAAAACAATGCCTTTAGCTTGAAGCTTTCAACCCTGAGCCATATGCCTTTCCCCAATCAATGCATCACAAACACTTGTAAAGTTCAGAACTGACGTCGCAAGGTTTCAGAGCGACTCGGCAGCCGAACAAATCCAAACACACGAACACTGCATCACAACACTAAGACACATCCAACAAAACCATGGTCCAAACCAGAACCAGAACCGGAAGATTAAGGACATGATGACATGATGATACCAACAAAAGTTTAGAATACAGTAGCAAACAGAATTGCAATAGAAATACTGCAATAACTATGGAAGTTCTACTAATAAACACAACAAGAATGATGAGCACAACGACAATGACAGTAATGATAGCTCATAGTACATACAAACACACACATATGTATACATATATGTATATATATATATATATATATATATATCCTGCAGCTCAGGAGGCGGTATCCATGAAGCTCAGGATCATGCAAGCGCCTTAGGGTTAGTTGAACTCGTATGCTGTTCGGTCGAGGGTTTAGTAGGCTTTAGCCTGGAGGTTTCGGGAAAGACACAGGGTAACGTAGTCTGTGTCGTATATAGCTTTCCCGCACCCCATCGCTCACCTTGCCTGACACCTCCCGCCTCAAATTTCGTAGAGTAGGATGTTGCAGAGTGGGGCCAATAAATCGGGACAGTACCAATTTCAGATCTCTATATCACTGAGGACCGTCGCGGCACCTATACTTTTAACACAACTTGCTTGAGACAGGGCTTTCGAAAGGGTGTTCTGCAGGGGCCGTATTAACAAGAATAGGGGCTTGGGGAACTCTATACTGCAGGCGTTGAATAACAGATAACATTCGTCATTGCGGTAAACGTGGTCAAGGAGGAGCCAAGCTGCAAGACCGTTCAAGGTGTTTAGCCGCGAAGTTTGCAGGTTCTGGGGTTCAGGCTGGGTTGACTCAGTAATGGCTTGTAGGGCTTGGGGTCTAGGGTTCTCAGCACGGAGCATCGGGTGGAGGTGTAGGGCTTATAGGGCTCAGGGTCCAGGGTTCAGTGCAGGGTGTAGGCTTTGCGGGAAACGGCTGAAGGGTGCGCAGCATGGCAACTAGCCACTTGAGTCTGCGGCCAAACTTGCAGCCGAGAGGCAGATCGCGAGTGTGGATGCTGCCTGGCCCCTGCAGCATGGATTCTCGAGCCCTACATCCCCAACTCTAGACGCTATCAAGCCCGCGGGGCTGTCATACTCATCAGAGTCAGGGATGGCTGAAGGAACAACAAACCCCAAACCCTAAAACTCAGTTAAGAAGCCCCTCGGGATCGACTCTCAAATCCTTATATATAACACACACACACACACCCTACAACACGCAGGTATGACAAAGCCATGTAGCCCATCCTGGCTGCTGAACTCTGCTTCAAACTAAAATAGCTGGCGGTCTTTCTTCGGCTATCTATCCATCTTTCTATCTCCCATCTATCTGCCTATCTGTCTATCCATCTATCGTCCTACCTCGCATCGACATGAGCGTATGAATGAGACCCTGCACTACACGTCCCGCAACACCCATGCTAGCCCGGGCCTCAGATGCCCCGAGCAGTAGAAATCCATCGCACTCTTCGACTTCAGCCTGGATTAGAAGGGAAAACGAGCAAAAAATAAAAATGAACCTAAACAATTAGAATAGGGTTCCTTTAAGGGGTACTTCAAAGGTGTCTGCAAGGGATCTAAAGTAGGGTTCTATGGTATAGAAGCCTGAAAACTAAGACGCAACCCCCCCAAACAGTTTGGGAAATCTTTAGGCCCCGATATTAGGGTTTAGGCTTCAAGGGTCTTTTGGGCCATCGTCCAAACTGTAAGCCCTGAGCCTTATACTTGCCCAGGGCCTAGACCCCATGAACTCCGATTCACAAAATGCCGGCGGCTGGGGACTTGCTCAACATCCAGCTTGATTTAATATTGGATGTAAGGTTGTGGGCTTCGGGCTATCCAGTGTGCGCAAACTCGAACTATATGACGAACGCAGATGCGGCTGCACCCACTTCGAAGCCAGCTCAACCCTGATGCCATCCCTTCGCCTGAACTACAATCATAAGCCCTGCAGTGCATAAGGCTGCAGGAGTGCTCGAAACCCGGGCTTCATAACTGATAAAGGGATGTGGGGTATGCTATGCTATGCTGCTATGAAGTATAACGTGTGACTATACATATGCATGTATGTATATATAATAGATGTACATGCATATGTGTATATATATATGTACATGTATATATATATATATATGTGTGTGTGTGTGAGTGTGTGTGTGTGTCTGTGTGTGTGTGCATGTATACACATATGTATACGGACTTAACACCAGTTTTTCAGACCCCTATATTCAAACCCCTGGAGCCCCGAACCCTAGTTAAAAACCGCCCCCTAGCCCGAAACCGCAGAACCAATAACCTGGCAGAGCTCAAACCCAAAAACCAAAACGCTGGAAACATGCAACAAGGCCATCACCAAATAAATATCTTGACATGAATATAGAACAACCTCACCAACAAACACGACACGGCAATAACGGCAGTAAAAACACCACACTTCCCGGGCAGGGCCTCAAGGTGGAAACCATAAGGAGGCCACATAGCGGAACCATGTGGAGCACCTGGCGCACCTCATTGTAGGGTATATAGATCTTTGAGTTGCAACCTTGAAGCCTTGGTTTGGCCCCTATACCCCTGTTTATTCATTCATCCATGAAAGGAATCCCTGGCATCAGGAGGAAATGTTTGCAGGTCTTGCAGTTGGTGTTATAGCCCCCTAAACCCTAATCTAAACTCTAAACCCTTGAACCCTATGTAAAACCCCAGAGCCACTCAGAACCCCCAGAAACCCTTACAAACTCTATCCATCGGTTTCTGGTTTAGGGCTTATATACACCTCAAGACAAAAGGCACCTGTACGCCGTTTAGCCACAAAAAACCCCAAAGTCCCTACCAAAGATCGGGCTGAGGCGCATCACCCGACCACAAAGCCGAGCAGAGCATGAGGGCAGAAGGAACCTTTTTAGCGTTTAGAGACCATAGTTTTGCTGTTACCTCAACTTTCCGTCTGGCAAGATTAAGGGTTTATGGCCTTGCTCTCTCGCAGAGTTTAGGCATTGGCTTTAGAGGTGTAGACATGTAGGAATTAAGGTTTGGGGATTGCAGGGATTGCAGTGGTTCAGGGATTCAAGGCTATGGGTGCTGAGAAGCACCTCTTAGGGTTTAGGGTTTAGGGTTTAGGGTTTCGGGTTTAGGGTTTAGGGTTTAGGCTGTTGCAGGCATCTTTGGGGCACAGGCTTTCGGGGGGTTGGTTTGAAGGGTTGTTAGCGAGGTTCTCGGGGTTCTCTAGGGACTGTACAGAGTGGCTTGGGCAGTATGACTTTCGGGCGTAAGCTGTTTCTAGGGCTTTAGGACTTTGGCTTTTTGGGGTTTCTGTAGCCCGCAAACGCCACAAATTAGTCTCCTTGATCACGGCTTGATCTGCAACAGTTCCTTGAAATGCCAGAGGCGTCGAGATTTCGGGTGCACAGATTCACTCCTGCTTGTCAAACATTAGAGACTATAAAGTAGCGGTAAGTAGCCTTGGTTGAATTGAAATGCGTGCCCTACGCCTCTCACTGTTGCGACTGCTCCTGAGGTGCCACTTCACGGGGCAGAGCAAGCCGTCGAACCCCAAAGCAAAGCCAGCAAAATCTAGGCCTAGCCGAAGAGTTGATTAAGCTGTCAACACATGTAAACGCTTCGGTTCAAGCTATGATAAAACCAATGGATCATGCCACCAAACAACCTACTTACACTCTCCCATGCATGGGATGCTTCAATACAGACACCAGATATGCAACATCAGAAACTCGACACCCCAAAGCCCTCAACTAAAACCCTAAAACCTACAACCCTGAACGGTAACCTAGATCAGTCCTCATCATCTACGCATGTGGTGAACACGTCCATGTATGCATGCGTATGCGTGCGCATGTAGGTGTTCAAATGTGTCTGCATACATGCATGCATGCATGCATGCATGCATGGGTGGATGGGAGGGATATATGCATGCATGTACGTATGAATGCATGCGCATGTATGTGCATGTGCGTGTGCGTATAAGCATGCATGAATGCACGTGTGTGTGTGGATGTATGTAGCTACCGGCAGCTATGTACATGTGAACGTATGAATACAAATTGTATGTATGCATGTACGTATACCCCTATATATATGCATGTACGTGTGTACATACATGTGTGTGTGTGTATGCGTGCGTATACATACATACATACATACATACATATAAAGATACATATATATATATATATATACGTATAATATGCGTGGATGGATGTATGTGTGTATGCCTGTCAGCATATGTAGGTATGTATGAGTGCAAGTATGTATGTACGTATGTATGTATGTGTATGTATGAATGTGTGTATAAAATTGTACACGAATGCATGGATGTGCGTATAAGTGCATGCGTGTAAGTGTATGAGTGTATGAGTGCATGTGTGTATGGGTGTGTAAGTGTATGCGTGCTTGTGTGTCTCTGTGTCTGTGTGCCGGTGAAAGTATATGTGCATGCGCGCATGTGGGTGGGTGCATGTGTGCGCGTACTTCTGTATGCGTGCGGCTTATGTCTGTGCATTCGTTGCATATTAATATAGGAGCTGATGGCACCTCCTACCAAAAAGACATTGGTTGGCATGGCACTACACCTCACTAACCTTTTGCCAAGCCATCGTAATTTCTGAAGAGGGGCAAGCAGGACGAGATGCAGATGTCTCATTTTCTGGTGCATCCAGAGAGTGGACGGCATGGCTTCGAAACCGCGAACCACGCCGACTACAGGAGATTCCAAGAATACCAGTACAGCGGCCTTACTTAACTATAGAATAGTGTTAGTTACATATATATATATATATATGTATATATGTGTCTCCAGAAGCTTAAGGGTTGCTGTTGGGGTCTTGTAGAGGTGTCTTCAAAATTAGATAGTAGCTGAGGCTTCATAACTGAACCCTAAAGGCAGGAAGAAGCCGATTATGCTTGGCTGCGACGGGTCCCGAGCCGTTGACATTTTGGGTATGTTGAAGGCAACCCGTGCTGACTGAAGATTGCAGAAGTTGTGAGAAGGGGCCTCTTGTTGGCCCTCGACGCCTCCCCTACTAAACTGTGGGGTGACCTGCCTACACTAAAACCACTAACACTGCGGACAAGCATGCACACATATCGGATCAGGTCAACATGTGGAGTCTGATCCCTGACTAAGTAATGCCCCCAAGCAAAACATATTCCGCCATCGTCCAACTTTTTAGCAAGCAGCGACAAAGCTTCAGAATTGCAGCTTTGGAGACAAGTCGGGGCATCTTCTGAATGGAACCCCAGCCCATGTCGGGGTGCCTTTGATATACGGAATTGAAAAATCGGAACAGGGTTTGGGGCAATATTGCAATCAGCACAGTTTCATGATACGGAAACGTACGGACTACTATATTAGTAAGATTCTGAATCCTATTGTCAAGAAAACTGAGAATGCAGTTTCCGGTTCCGGGGACGGGCTCAATGTTAATCCCATTGTGGTATTGCTCCTGTCATTGTGTCTTCATTTGGGTAACTCTAAGCGTCAGGTACATGTCCACCTAGGCAGTCTATGATGCACTCCACAACCGTCTTCTGAATCATGAGGGCCTCGTTGTCTTATGGTTCCAAGTCCTGCGCGGGCCGTCAAGACTTGCAAGGAAACCTGTGAGAATGCGCTTCGGATTCCCCAGAGAGCCCAGTACCTGTTCAAACCATAGGAAGCAGTGACAGCAATTCCTTGGTGCTGCTTCATTTCTTTAAACTGTAAACCCTAAACCCCAATGACAACGCAAGCACAAGCCTTGCAAGAGTACAATTATGATCATGTCAAACCCTATAAGCCCTAAGCTCTAACGGCAACAGCGTGCACGAGCCTGTAAGAAGCATGAAGGCATGAGCGTCCGCGCAGTCTGGATCCTCAGCATTGGCTCGGGTCAGGGCCCTCCGCAATATCTTGCTATTCCCTCAAAATCACTTACGGATTTTCTAGCTTTACAATAATGTGTATTTACATATATATATATATATATATATATGTATTTTTTTATCTTTATACATATGCCCCCCAAAATCGTCTAAGTCTAAGTATAAAAGTACCTAAACAAATTAGAGCTTGAGAGCTCTCTCGAGCCTAAGCCCTCCAAAGCCAGAGACCTTGGGATAAAGCACGCTGGGGCTTCAACACTGCGCTAGTTCTGGCCGCAAGGGTCCAAGTACAACCATCATGCACTCTCCAAAATCCTAGCCTACATAAGTACTATCCTAAAACCGAGTACCTAATTATTGGGTCCTTTGGACCCTTGGGGTGGTTAGCAGGACCTCAATTGACATCTGAAGGTTTTCTAATGTAAACAATGTCCATGTCCATCAATGGTGGGTCACTTGACAGTCAAAATCCCCTGAACCCACAGCCCGCAACCGTACACCGTCAAAGGACCCAAGTGTTCGGCCGGAGCTGATGGGCCAGTCAGACACTGCTTGGCAAAAACTCGCTGAACGCGGAACTCAGTAAACGCGGAACTCAGTAAGCCTGTCGAGCCCAAACACTACATCTGACACGGCCTAAAAGGTCCTCTAAATTTAGGTCGTCGCCAAATGCCTTCCAACTCCCTGGAACCGAATCCTGCCTTCTCCGTGTAGCAGGTCCAGCCGTCAGAAAAGGAGGACAAAACCTGTCAAAACCCGACCCTAAACCGTTCGGCTGGAGGGTTTAGGGGTAGGGTTTGGCATCCCGTGGGATCGGGTTTCGGCTTAGAAGAACACTAAGGGTACGAAGGCCAAAGTGCCTTTCGGCCTGAAGAGTTTGGAGGCAACCTGGCCAGGTCCCCATCCCCGGACAAGTCTAGGATTGGGCTAGGCTTTGGGGCTTATGCTTGAGACTTTGAAGCTTGCAAGAGCTCATTCTAAGGCCAAGCTTACCAAGGACATCAAATCTCAATTCGAGACCCACGTCCAATTGCTATAAGCGTGCAGCTAGATAAGATTCCCGATTAATTACTTTGCATCTGAGGTTCTGGGGGACGGCATGGACTTGTTTTACCGCCTACTTGGCAAGGACGAAGCCCACATTGCAGGGTACATGATTGAACAGCGGCAGACTTAACATTGAAGTCCGAGTACAACTAAGACCGTAATCCACCGGCAATGACTTAGGACGCAGGGCTTAGACTTGACTTATGGTATCTTATGGTAAACTCTCGGACGAGAACCCGCAACCTAAACAGAGGTATCAACTGCTTTCACTGCAAAGGTTGGGCTCGCACATTACATATAGACACAATAGAACAAATGCCCGACAGCGGATTCAGAAACACAACTTCTGTGAAGCACCGGCCACGAGTTACCCTGGCCTCTTGGAACGACATGCCTGAGCGCTCTGTGCAGGCTGACAGGTATATGCTTATCTCATTGCAAGGCGGGAAAGACTCGGGGCTCAAGAAGGTAGAGGCCTGATAGCATCGATAAACCAGCAGTCTACTATGCAAGTAACTACACAGTTTCATCGGTCACTGCATGTGGACACTGAGATCTCCGGCTGAGGCTACATTACCTGCTATGCCCGCAGCATCGGCCGAGAAGTGCTGTGGAACTCTTTGGTTGGCGGGCTGCCAGAGGTGTTCTGTGTGCAGTGGCGGAGGCTGCACAAGGTTCACCTGCACCCGAATACACATCTATGCATCTGTATATATAAATATGCGGTTATGTGCTTTGGCCTTACAGGGGTGCTGAGATAGGAACTTGAAGGCCAAAGTATACGCTATGAATATAGCATGGAGGCCTTTGCAGCCAAGGCTTCCTAACATCCCGCACATACGGTCCTATTCAGGTACTTTCATTTCCTGTGCATACACCCAAGTTGTCTTCATGATTTACACCTCGTAGTGCCTGTGCTTAATTACTCCAGACTACTCCGTGCAATGTCGAGCATGCAGTTGCAACCCAGTAGCCTTGCTTGCTGCCAAAGCCCGGCATCACAAGCAGCGGCATGTATGCAAAGGAAACCTAGAGCATCCGGGGCGCCGCGCTGAGATTTGGGATTTCGGGTTCAGATAAGCTTTTGACCGCAAAACTGTGGCTATCAGGAGGTTCAACGACTTTTCAATCTCTTCTTGTGGGGGTCGGTATCAGGGAACAGCTGGGTTCTGAAATACCATGGGCACAGATATGTTCAGAGACCACAGTGCGGTCTTTAAACGCCGGCATCCTGCAACAGTTCGAACCTTCCACCCTCTCCAAGGATGTGCGAAGCCATTCGTTTCAATCGGCCGGCAGATGGACTCTTCAAGGACGAGGAGTTTACCCCCGTTGCGTCCTAAGGCTTCTCCGTAATGCGAGATAAGGCTTACACGGCTTACTACAGTAAGATCGTGCGGGAGCATGGCAGTCAAGACATCGTCAAGCGCAGAACCAAGGTCGAGTTCATCAGGCGTCTGTCGATAATTATGAGGCTCTTTGGAGGATTAGGTAGCTAGATGCAGTGCCAGCAGCTATTGTAGCTCGCGCGATTCGGGGATGTCCCTGTCACCCCGCAAAAGAAGCTCAGTGGGAAGTAGGAGAACGGTTGATTCAGAACTTGGAGCTTACATGTTAAGTCTCAAGCACCCAACCGCGACATAAAGCCCCAAAGACTTGCAACCTTAAGGTGGGGGGCTTGAGCACTTGCCACTGACTGGTCTTCTGTTTGAAAACCACAACTGCCCAAACCTAACTAAGATTCTGCTTGTCAGGCGTGTTCAGCTTCAAATTCTGCCAGATCTGAGATCTTGGAGTCTTGGGTTGTATGGCTGCGGGTAGGAAGTGTTTCGGGTCGAGCCTGTTCCGACGTCCTAGCACCTAAATTGGCTCGACACCCTGAACCCCCAAACCCAAACCCCTAGGTAGCACCCAGCCTGGGGCAACTTCTTGCAAAACCCATCCCTTCAGATGTTTAGCGTACTGTGCATCTGCACAATACCCAAAGCCCCTAAACCCTATAAGCCGTGTTTGCGGTCACCTTATGGTCTGCATTTGGGATGTTGTGCATGCTGTGGGGCGGGGTTACGCTGTAGAAGTGGGTGCAGTGTTTCAAGCCGTCATGCCTAGGAATCTTATGCGATAGGCCCATGTCTGTGCCGAACGAACAGGAACCTTCAACGGTACCAACAAAAGCTGAGTCCGCAGCCACAAACTGCCAAATTGATACCCACTGCGTGAGGTACCTCGCAGAGCACAGGAAGTCTGCTTGCACAAATCATAAAGCAATGCTGCTCATGTGCGTGCCGCTGCTGCTTTCGAACGCGGCTCTCGTGAATCCAGTAGCCATGTGCTCTTCAACAGCATCTTGTCTCGAAGCTCTGTTTGGTTGCAGCGGACAGCAAACCCCAAGGAGCTTCATCTCTCAAGGCGGCAAATGATGACCCCTCTTAACCTGAAGCCCTAGCTGAATTGATCTCGGCTGAGTGCGCCACCACACATCGAGGTGGATATCCTCAAAGGTGGCCTCTTTGTAGCAACTGGACCTTCGCTAGAATTGCACTGTCTCTGCAGTGAAACTGCCGTATCCTGAGTTTGGCGGTTAGGGCTCCTCGGAATTGTGCACATCATGTCAGGGATGGACGGCAAGGTCAAGCAAGCTTGAAATGACCCAGCCGGACGTTGCTTGCTGATTCTGACTCGTCGCGGGCGCGACAGCCTACAACCCTCTTGCAAGCCTACACCTCAAAGGGCCCTTACACACCGTGCAAGGCCGAACAGCCA